CTGTAACTGAAAAGCTTGTTATAAAGGTTATCTTCATAAGTTTCTGGAGAGCAAAGAAGTGAGGAATCACACTTGCCTCAAATAGAATTTTGCACCGAGGATTTCTTGAATATATATTTGGAAGAGACACTCCCCAACACAGACTTTATCATGGTTCAATCCTCCTGCAGGACTTGCACTGCTACGGTACAAATACATGTAGCTTTGTATTTCTTGAATATATATTTGGAAGAGACACTCCCCAACACAGACTTTATCATGGTTCAATCCTCCTGCAGCACTTGCACTGCCAGAGTACAAATACATGTACCATGCAGCTTTGCAGCTTTTGTTCAAAATGCAAACCCCTCCTGGTCCCATCAGCTGCCTTTCTGTCAAATTTCTCACCAAGAAATGCTTTGAAGAGGTGTATTAGGTTTGAGTGGCAAGGTTTTGATAGCAGGGGGGCTACAGAGGTAGCTCTGTGTGAAGATTCCGGAAGCTTCCTCTATATCTGATAAAGCCAACATGGTCCCATCAACTGCCTTTCTGTCAAATTTCTCACCAAGAAATGCTTTGAAGAGGTGTATTAGGTTTGAGTGGCAAGGTTTTGATAGCAGGGGGGCTACAGAGGTAGCTTCTGTGTGAAGATTCCGGAAGCTTCCCCTATATCTGATAAAGCCAACGCCAGCTGGCTCCAAGATGGACCTGCTGTTGGCCAAGGCCGAGCCCACCAGTGACAGTGGTAGCACCTCTGTAGTAACATACTTAAGAATGGGAGAAAAATTGCTGCATAACAGCAGCTGGAGAGAGGAGTGAAAATATGTGAGAGAACCAACTCTGCAAACACCAAGGTCAGTGAAGAAGAAGGGGCAGAACTTGCTCCAGGCACTAGAGTAGAGATTCCCCAGCAGGCTCTGCAGACACCAAGGTCAGTGAAGAAGAAGAGGCAGGATGTGCTCCTGGCACTAGAGTAGAGATTCCCCTGCAGGCCATGGTGAAGACCATGGTGAGACCTGCCGCTGGCCAAGGCCGAGCCCACCAGTGACAGTGGTAGCACCTCTGTAGGAACATACTTAAAAATGGGAGGAAAATTGCTGCGTAACAGCAACGAGGTCCACGGTGGTGCACATAACCACCTGCAGCACATGGAGGACCCCATGCTGGAGCAGGTGGATGCCCCAAGGAGGAAGTGACTCTGTGGGAAGCCCACACTGGAGCAGGTTTTCTCACAGGATCTGTGACCCCATGGAGGACCCAGGCTGCAGCAGTCTGCTCCTGAAGGACTGCACCCCATGGAAGGGACCCACACTGGAGCAGTCTGTGAAGAACCGCAGCCCGTGGGAAGGACTCACGTTGGAGAAGTTCATGGAGAACTGTCTCCTGTGGGAGGGACTGCACAGTGGAGCAGGGGAAGAGTGTGAGGAATCCTCCCCCTGAGGAGGAAGGAACATCAGTTGGAGAAGTTCATGGAGAACTGTCTCCTGTGGGAGGGACTGCACAGTGGAGCAGGGGAAGAGTGTGAGGAATCCTCCCCCTGAGGAGGAAGGAACATCAGAGACAACGTGTGATGAACTGACTGCAACCCCCATTCCTGTCCCCCTGTGCTGTTCGTCAGGAGGAGGCAGAAAAAATTGGGAATGAAGTTGAGCCTGGAAGAAGGAAGGGGTGAGGGGAAAGGCATTTAAAGATTTAGTTTTCTTTCTCACTACCCTACTTTGATTTGATTGGTAATAAAGTAAATTAAGCCTGTTTTGCCCATGATGGTAATTGCTAAGTCTTTCTTTACATTTTCTCTCGCCCATCCAGCTGAGAAACAGGAGTGGTAACAGCAACTTTGGTGGGCCCCTGACATCCAGCCAGGGTAAACTCACCACAAGAGAGAAGCTCTTTCAGCAACTACTTGCTATGAACTCACAGGATAGAAACATTATACCAATCCTTGTCTTAAGAAGCTCACAGGTGACCAGAAGGATGTCAGGAAAAGCTAAAATAAGCCCAGATTCACCACAGAGGACAGAGTCAAAGAGGACACGGTATGAGATGCGAATAGAGAAAATCAGGGAGGCAAAGTTAACTTGTGCGCTGGCAATCAAGTACAGCCATGCAATGAGGTAAAAAAATAAATCAAGGTCATGTCCTCCTTGACAGAAAAATTTGCACTCACAATCAGTAACCTTTCTGAAGCTGCATTTTGGACGCAACAGGGAAAGGGAAACTTAGGAAAGTCAGCAACTAGATCCAATTCTCACAGCTGCTGGGAAAGGAGGAAGATACAGCACTTTCAACTGCATTGTAAATTCCCAAGGGTGAGCGCATCGGGGTAAATAAGGATAAAATAGAAAGAGGAGCCAAAATGGTTACAGAAGCAAACAGTTTCTAGGGAAAGTGAACATGGAGTTATCACAGTTGCCTTATCTCTAACACATGAGCAAGCAGTGACAGCCGCTATAGAAAAGAATCTTCTACACAGTAGGTGTTAGCTGTTCTCCCCAGTGTCTGTTCTCACACCAAGACGACCTCACAAGACAAAGGCGCTGTGGGGTACAAGCTTATATAAAAAGCTCCTAACTCCGAAGTAAGAACATTTCATCCAGACCTGCAGCCTGCTGAACTCAAGCCTACAGCTGGAAAAGGGTGTCCCTCCCCACCGCACAGTCTCTACCCCTGTTGTGCTGTCAAAGACTAAGAAATTGAGTCAATCTTCTTCACTTGCACAGCAACCCCACAGACTGTTCCCAAAGAACAAAACGCAGGAAAGTCTCCTGGCTGGCAGCAGGTTTTTATTTTTTTTTTTCTAGCAGTCTGAAGTAAGAGCCTAATAGGCTGTCACTTCTATAAGTGAGTTTAGATGAAACTGGGGGGCAAAAAGATTGAGCATGATTTTGTGAGTGACGAAAGGCAGTAACTTGCCTTGGTATGGACTATGAAAACAGCTTGCCTGCCATAGGCAGCACCGGCACTTCTGTTTTATCACAATATCACCTTACAGATGCTGAAAAGCCTGACCTTGCAAAATACTGAGAAAACAACTGCTGCCGGGGCTGCAGAGCTGGTGGGAGCTGGATACTCTCTGAATCTTGTAAGAAGCTGATTACACTGTGCAAATTAATTTATAGCACTAAAATCAAGTTCAAAAACTGTAATAAACCATCAGAAGTGGTAGAATTCCTTTCTGAGAGTTTGTTGGGCTCTGCACAACTATCTCATTGTCACAAACAGCACAATTTCTCTTTTCCTAGGAGTCTGGCAGAATTATGTACAGATTCATTCAAAACAAAGATGTCTGCAGCAAGATTTGTTCTAGCAGCACACTTCTGCTGATGGCTTAGACAGTTTACACTGTATCATCCAGGGAACTACAGCTATGGCGCAACCCAGAATCCACCTTCTTCTCCAGCCCTTTCTACCATTGTACATAGCAGAAAGAAGTGGCTGTTCATCTAAGTCATCATAACCTCAGGGCAAAGTGAAATTCTGATTTCAAACCAGCTGGGATGACAATAAACAGCTTGCAACACAGCCTAACACACAGGTCTAGAGCTCAGGCAGATCTCAGCCTCAATTCTCACCCATAAATCAGCTGTCCACAAACAAAGCTGTTCTGGATGTCATCTCCAAACACACTGAAGATAAAGAAGTCATTGGAAGTGGTCAAGATGGATTTACCAAGGGTAAATCATGCTCGACCAATGTGATAGCCTTCTATGATGTGATAACTAGATGTCTGGATGAGGGGAGAGCAGCAGATGTCATCTACCTTGACTTCAGCAAGGCTTTTGACACTGTCTCCCGTAACATCCTCATTAGAAAATTTAGGAAGTGTGGGCTACACGAGGGGGCAGTGAGGTGGATTGAGTCCTGGCTGTGTGAAAGAACTCAGAGGGTCGTCATTCATGGAGCAGGGTCAAGTTGGAGGCCTGTAACCAGTGGCATCCCCCAGGGATCAATACTCGGCCCAGTCCTGTTCAACATATTCATCAGTGACCTGGATGAGGGGACAGAGTGTATCCTCAGCAAATTTGCTGATGATACCAAACTGGGAGGGGTGGCTGACACCCCAGAGGGCTGTGCTGCCATCCAGTGTGACTTGAACAGGCTGGAGAGCTGGGCAGAGAAGAACCTAATGAGGTTCAACAAGAGCAAATGTACGGTCCTGCACCTGGGGAGGAAGAACCCCAGGCACCAATACAGGTTAGGGATGGATCTTCTGGGAAGTACTACTGAGGGAAAGGATCTGGGAGTCCTGGTGGGTGGCAGGATCTCCATGAGCCAGCAATGTGCCCTTGTTGCCAAGAGGGTCAATGGAATCCTGGGCTGCATAGGGAAGAGTGTGGCCAGTAGGTCGAGGGAGGTCATTCTCCCCCTCTACTCTGCACTGGTGAGGCCACAACTGGAATACTGTGTCCAGTTCTGGGCTCCCCAGTTCAAGAGAGACAGGAAACTACTGGAGAGAGTTCAACGTAGGGCAACTAACATGATTAAGGGATTGGAGCACCTCCCTTACAAGGAAAGGTTCAAAGAGCTGGGGCTCTTTAGCCTGGAGAAGAGAAGACTGAGGGGAGGCCTTATCTACATTTACAAGTTCATGAAGGGTGAGTTGAAGGATGATGGAGACGGACTCTTTTCAGTGGTTTCCAGCAATAGGATGAGGGACAACGGGCACAAGCTGGAACATAGGAAGTTCCATTCAAATATGAGGAAAAACTTCTTTCTGGTGAGGGTGACAGAGCCCTGGAACAGGCTGCCCAGGGAGGGTGTGGAGTCCCCTTCTTTGGAGATCTTCAAGACCCGTCTGGATGCAGTCCTGAGTAATGTGCTCTGGGCAACCCTGCTTTAGCAGGGGAGTTGGTCTAGATGATCTCTAGAGGTCCCTTCCAACTCTGTCAAATCCGTGAATCCGTGAAATCCCTGCTCCAAACAGTGGTGCTGCTGATGTGCTTAAGCCTCATTTACACCAAACGGATAGAGAACATGAGGTCAGCAGCAAGTCAGCTGGCAGCAGTGAGAAATTCTCTTACCTTCCATTGCGTATTTCATATCCTGGGCAAAAAGACTCCACATCACCTCCGCGCTGATCTTCCCAACAGCAAGCTCCTGAGGAAACCTGAGGGGACATTTGGGAAAGGTTTTGGTATATATCAGAGCAAAGGGGTCTTCATTTAGCTATGAGCTAACTAGAAGTTGAAAAGTTCAATGTTACAGCTGCTTCCTTCACCCTAGATAAATGACCAGGTGGAAAATGGAGACCACAGACTGGACTTCATAGCATAGATTGAATATAACCTCAAAACAACACTGCTGTTGAGACGGTTTTTAACCCAAAAAGCCAGGCCCTGAATGTATCTCCTAGAAGAGATGCACACAATAATTCTGGGAATGGAATCTCAATACCCTTGTACCTTTTTCCCCTTTCTTGTCCATATTTTTCCCCCCTTTTTTTTTCTAGGGTTACTAGGCTGACAGGTGAACACTGTTCACATGTCCCTGCCATGTTAAATCAATGATCATTAGGGCACAATCCAGCTCTCTGTGTATAATACAGATATCTCCATCTCTCCTGCCCTGTGGGACTGCTGTAGCAGTATCCATGGGTTAGATAGGACGGTTTCAGGTTCCTTTCCAATGCTGTCAGCCCCACCCAAGGCACTCTCCTACTGCTGCACTGAACACCACGTTCCTCAATCACAGCACAAGGTACTGTCACCATGGCACCACTGTGTGCATTAATGTGCATCCCAGAACTGCTCAACATCAGAAAAAACCAAAAGAACTCTCACCCCATTTTCAGGTGCCTCCCTGAGTTCAGGATTGTAATAATCAGGGTGTTTGTGCTCGAACGCCATCGTAACTGAACCTTTTGAAACTCTTCCATCCCAATCAAAAAGAGTTATTTATATAGACAGAGACAGATAAGACAGAAAGACAGACAGACAAGATAAGTACTTCTATAAATACACAAGTGACAGAAGAGATAGAAAGCAGTTTAACAAATAAAGCAGAGCACACAGAGACGAGCATTAGCTGTACAGGACATGGAAGATTCTTACTGATTCAGGACTGGGGTATAAGAATTCTTGTCCTCTTCTATGATGGAAACTATTAAAGTGATGAGCTTGGGCCAGAAATCCAGGTTCCTGATGCTGGGGCCCTGTTCCTCGGGAGGAAGGTCCTGATTTTTGTTCTAGGAAGGAAGTGGTGGGAAAACCAGTGTAAATTTAAAGAGGAAATAAAAAGCTGACAAATTAAGATCACCATACAAACTCCAAATGCTAATTACTTGTGTACTCTTTCACCTGAAGAGCTTAAAATTCTTAGTGTATGCTGCCAACTTGCAGGATCTAATGCAAAACACAGTAACATGCCAAACCATGTTGCTTACTGGTGGTCTCAAACCTAAATAATACCCATTTTGTCATTTACAATACAAGAAGTAGGTCAGGCTTCAAGAGACCTGCTGAGACATCATTTGCTCTAAGCTTGTTCCAAATACTTGCATTTTAGGCACCTGAGTTGATGACTATATCCACGTTGACACACAGTGCTTGCACTACTGCAGAGTGGCCGGCAGAGCTCTCATGGATTTGAAAACAGTTTGTGTCTAGAGGTACCTCCTAGTCCCAGTGCAGGACACCGGAAGCCAGAAAAGATGATAAAATTTCACTGCTTGAGGTTTATCTATGCTAAAGACAGTTTTCTCAACTGGTCTGCATTTGCTTTACATGGCTTTTGCTCGCTGAAAGCTGCATCAAACTTCCCCTTCACAAATAACTGCTCATGAAATAGAATAGCTGAGGCTGGCAAAACAAATCATAATTAGTTAGTGCTAAACAATTATCACCCTCCACTTACTAATTAGTGCTCATTAATTGATTACAAGTTTTCTGCATTCAGAAAAATAACAAGTCACATAATTTTGTTTGTGTTGGCTTTTTATATCAATTAGTATTCTTGTTATTATCTTAAGAAAATCAGAAACTTGGATTTCTGCCCATTTATCAACTACTCACAGGATCTGTCTGGTACTCGCGACTGTACAGCTCATGACAATTGTTGAAAATGTACTCGTAGGTGGAGTTGAGACAAGCTTTTACACAGTCCTTCACCACCTGGCTGGCTCGGGGTGGACTCTGCAGCTCTTGGACCTGGCAAGGAGACAACAGAGTCAGTCAAGCACAGCATAAAAATCCCTGTTTGTTCCTAAAATCAAACGGGGAAAGAACAAGTCACCAGGGTTTTGGAACTACCCAGGTCTTGGTAGTTCTGCTTTCAGCGACTTGTGCTATCAGTGACCTGAAATCATGAATGGGTCGCTCTCCCCAGGCACAAAGCAGCAGCGACAACACTTATGATGCTGCGGGATCATTTGGAGCATAAAAGAGATTTTGAAGTGCCAATTAAGATTTTTCAGAATAAACAAATCATGTGGCTTGATGCGTGTATAATCTGAGCAATGCACACACATTTTCTGCTAAATTTGTAGGATGTTGCTATGAAGCCAGCGAGCAATCTTTCCAAACACTGGAAAAACATGCAACAGTCTAGTGAAGCACATTACATCTGATCTGGAAAGTCTTGCTGAAGACCAAGCACTCACGTGCCTCTAAATACAGTAACTTCCTTTAAGGACATCTTTCTTCACAAGCTTTATTGAATTTTAAAGCACACCAGAGTCCTTAGGGACATGGCAACTGATACGCCTTCTCCTCTTGTAACAACAGCTCATTTCATTATTTCATTGTTATGTTGCTTTAGAAAAACACTGCGGGGTTACTTTAAACTAAAAAGATACACAGCCATCACCCTGCAAATAGAACTATAACCCAAGACAATTTTGATATTGTCACTACCTCAAAACTTTTTGGAGTATTTCTGTAAAGCATTCAACATTCAACATAGACATATTGCCTTCATGAACACTTTCAAAATAAAGTTTTAAAACACCATTTACCCGAGGGCCTAAGAGTACAATTTTAAGCACTTCCTCAAATAGGTCAAATGGAAGACTTGATTTGGTTATGATAGATAAAAATTATTAAGTGACAGTTACTAGTCTACAACAGTATTTTTTTAAAAAGCTTAGAAACAAAAATCAGGAATTAAAAATAATCTCATTACACATTACTAGACCACTAAACTTAACTACAGAACCAGCACATTAGCATTCATAACAACTCTCTCGGATCTCTACTGAGAGATACTACCCCATTTCAGTATCTTACCCTCTAAGAAATAAATATTAAAATATTTACTAGATAAAAAATAGTGAAGAGATGGTAGTGACTGATAAATGTTGTATACAGTTTATAGGAAGAGCTTCTTCATGTTATTAACAAAAGTAAATTATCTTCCTAAAACCAGACCATTTTCTCTTTTTTTTTCATTTTCTTTTTTTTTTTTTTTTTTTTTTTTTTGTGTGTGCCATATTTATGATTGAAGAACCCCAGGGAAAAAACAGCTTTCATCTTCATGACACAAAATACAGTGAACCAGAGATAAAATGCAGATGTTTATTACATGGGCATCAGATGATCTCCATTTTCCTTAAGCGTATAAAGCACAGTAACATGAAGCAATGGTTTGAAAATGGGAAACCAGCTCCTGTGGCAAAAATGGCAGAGGCCCCACTCCCATCCCCACCCGTAACATTACCTTCATCCTGAAAAAAGTGATGCTGGTCAGCAAATCCACCGTAGACTTCAGGTCCTGCAGCCGTTCGCGGCTGCTGGCTGGGAAGTTGTTCTGTCGACAAAAAAGGGAAATTGTGTTGGAAAGCACAGTCAGATCCATGCAAGGCTTCAAGCATGTGCTAAATAAGGAAAGTGTCTTGGAAACATTTCCTGCTCAAGAAGCTTGTACCAGTCAAAACAATGCTCAATAAATAAGGCCTTTTTGCTGCAGGAGTTTATTCGTTTGCTTAATTAAATAGCTTCTCCAATGAATGCAAAGTTTGTGGATGCCAGAAGACTGACAGCCCTGGGTGGTAGGAGACCTCTCCTTGCCTGTAGAAGTAGCAGACAGGGAGGGAACAGCCTCACCACTGTCAGCCCTGGCCTCCCACCTGAGGCTGCCTGTGCCTGCCCCTTCCCTTCTACTTGGTTTTTGACTTCTCTTCTGAGACACCAGGAGATGTATATTAGCGACCTTCTCCAGAGAAATAAACTGGACTGAGAAGGGAAAACGACCATTGTTCCCTGTAAGAAGTCATCATAACCACTCAGACCCCTGTAAGATCCCATCTGCCAATGTAAGCAGTGCCTCTTTTTGCATTTATTTTACATAGTCTATCCACCACCCTGTTCTCTATAGACATACCTTCCTCTTCCACTCTCTAGATTCCACTGAAATAAGAAGTCTCATTGTCCCTTCCAGATATGATACATATGTGTGCTTATATACCTCTCTACATGCATACAAATGCATATGCTGAGTGCAGCAAGCTTTCCTTCTTGCAAGAGATTGTTCCCTTTCTGACAACAGGCACTTTCCTACATTCCCACTCTTTCCTTCCTGTGTCCTTTAACAGCATTCATATTCCTCACCATATTCTTGCTGGTGGGACTGGCTTTTCTGTGAGTAAAGAAGCAAAAGTGCAACCTTCACTTGGATAGTCTCTTTGCATTTGCACATTCAAAAATGGGGCAGAGGGGAGCATGTTTTCATTTATTAGTGAGCACTTCAGAGAAAAATTTGCTGTCTCTTGGCAGCAATCAAATATTGCTGCCGTTCAGCTAACCACTGCAATTTAATGTTCTTCACAGTCATTTGTAGATGCTTGTTCCTAGGAAACTCTCCTTTTAAAGTTAAGTTGCCCGCACATGGACTCTCTGGCACTCAGGGTATTTACCAAAATCAAAGACTTCTGTGGGTCAAGATTTAAAAACAAACCATTGGATGAGTCTTGGGGACTGAATGGATGTTGTTGACTGGGAATAATAATATCAGGAAAAGATAACATTATCTATATTGAAATTCAACCTCTTCTATGCTTTTATCAGCTAGCAACCAACCAACAAAAAGAACAACTGGCATGCATACAAAAATATTTGCTCACAAAAGCTATTTCAAAATAATTATTCAGAGCATGACTTGGAGCTACTTTTGAAAGAACTCCATCTCTCCTCTCTCCGAGTCTGTCACCCTGCCCTGGAAGGAACACACACTGGTTTCACATTTTCATTTTGACAAATCCACACTTCTTGTTATTCATTGTTTTAAGTGCTGACAAATAGCTTGGTTAAATTAGGGGAGGGGGAAGGCTTAATCTAGGTAATTGAAGTTGTAAATTGCCATCTCCTCTCTTGAAAGCCAGAAACCAACACCTCTTTTTCCAGAACTTAACCCGCCCTTCAGGGGTCTTACAATAATTACTAAGAGCTCCCAAATTGCTTCAGCCATTTCACTAAACATACTGCCAATTAGATTAACATCTAAATTATCTAAACTGCACAAATCTCTCCTGGTCCTTTATGTAAGATCTTGTTCAAGGTCCAGTTGCATTAGCCACCGGAAAGCAGCTTTTATTGAAGATGAAGCAATCAAAAATGGCATCACCACCACGGCTTCCTATTGCCATGTGTTGATAATTTTCCCTCTACTACTCAGTGCAACAGAGTTCTCTTTAGACCATCTCTTACTAGTAATGTAGCTTTAGAATAGCTTTTTGCACAACATTCCTTTTATCTTCTTTTGCACCTTGCCCCTTTCCCTTTTTGTTCATCTTCCTAATGGACTTCTCTTAGTCTGCTCATGTTTCCCTCCTCTGTATGTTTTACTGTGTTTCAGATAAATGCACTAACCAGAAAAGGACCTAGTTTCAGATAAATTAATGAAACCAAAGCTCACATTTTATTTTGACACTGTTTTTAACTTTTTCAATGAATTAGTCATTAATAAAAATAATATATCAAGGAATTAAAAAAAAAAAAGGTCAAATTACTATGTTGACTGTGGAGTAGCAAAGAAAGAAACTAGTGGGTTTAAGAATCCTGATGGACTGATGCCAGCATTTGAAACTCATTTCCCAATATGCTGAAGTGAAGGGAATCTCAACCTGAGAGCACATCTTGTAGATCCAGAGTCAGGGACAGTGATTTGAGTTTGCCAGATGTAAACTGAGTGACAACATGGTTGCAGTTCCTCTACAAGATTTCTGTCTTACCAGGGGAGAACAAATCTGTTTTCTCTTTGTAGAGGATACCTGATGTAGCTGGCAAGAATAATTAATATCAACTTGCATCTCTGGGAGAGTATCAGAGATGAGCATATCTTACAATTCTTAAATTATTTCAGATGTGTTGAGGAAGTTGTAACAGAAGAAAAAAACATGGTTTAAATTCTATCCAGGAAGAAAACAAAATGGTGTATTTGAGCAACAATCTTTTCATGGTCATTCCGTAAAACGCAAACTACTCAAATGGTTAGAATTTTAAGATAAAGCCCAATAGTGTGTTTCTCCTCTGCCCACCAGAATGCCTGAAAGGATTCTGTTTATTCCCACTCACCCTGTACATTGAGAGATCAATCCGAAGTGAATTATGGAGCTGGTCCAAAAGCTTCACAAATCGTTCTTTCTGTGGAGCAGAAAACACCAATAAACGTCACATATCATCACTCCAGTCGATGTTCACAGTAAGCAGCAGGGTATCAGGGAATTAGTCTCAGATCTCGGGAGAGCAGGAAGAAGCAATATGGATGCACTGTATTGTGCAAACAGTATTTTCTTTTGAATCTTGGATTTACTATTACACTGTAATTATTTCTGAAGTCTGTGTAATATTAGAAGTGTCAGAAAAATACACCATTTTCACTCTGAAGCAGAGGCAGAACAAAAAACTCTCTTATTTCTAGTCTGCAATTTTCACCAAACTTATATTTAAGAGAAAATATTTATTCAGAGATGAGCAAAGGAACAGGCAGAAAAGGGTTTAATTCAGAGCAATGACACAGCTCCAAAATCTTATCTATTAGTTCAGTGACAAGTATTACAGTCTTCTCTGTATCTTCTCGAGATCAGATCTCTCCAGTGGATTCTGGTTTGTGAACACCTCCTCATTCAATCTATATATTCTCAATCTGATGGGAAGCACGAGCTTTTCCAAATAATTTTCCAGCACACCCATCTCCACCACACATTATACAAAAAAACATTGAACCATTAAGGGGATAGAGGTGGTTTTTTTTCTTAAAGCAGTTGCTGTTTTTAAGAACAAAGTTCTGAAACAATCAGATCACACAGTATATTTTATCAACAGCATCTCCACACGGAGTTTAATATTATTTGCTCATTTCCATACCATCTGTGCTCTAGTGCAATTTGAACACAAAGAATAAACATCACAATGCATTACACTGATTAATATCTAAAATGTGCGATGGTGACGACAATAAAACTGTGCTCTTTGTCTAGCCTCGAAGAGCTCCACAGCTTCAATTTTCCTTAAACAAAGCAAGTTATTTATTGAAAGGCAGAAGCACCGTAGGCAAATTAGAGAAATCCAATTGTAACATCACCAAACATGCAAACATACCCCAAAATTGGAGGCTGCAAAGCGGTCCGAAGCAGACACATTTGTGGAGGCAGTTGTGTGCGCATAATAAGCATTGATATTGGCAAGTAAGGTGCTCATCACAGCTGGCACGCCTGGGCACATGTATTTAGAGGAGAGACATGCAAAATGCCTGCAAAAGGACAGTTCTGTAAGTCATTCTTGTCTCTTTTGTGTAGCACAACTTGACTCTATCTCCTACTCTACCTGGCACCATGAAAGTTATGTTTTTCTCCCTTTCTGTAAATCTCTAACACCTAAAGAGCTTTTTTTTTCAGAGAGATGCCATCTAGACAATAGATATGCTTAGAACTAGAAAAAATCCCTTCACTACAGCCCTTTCAAATCATAAAATAGCTTCTCAACTATTGCCAACAGCTTGTGACTTCGGTGATATCCCGGGTCCTGATGCCAGTTCCTAGAACCACGACTGACATGAGGAATTCGATATAATTTGCTGTCACTTGAGGCAGCCACAGGTCCTGAGGTGATATGGAGCAGCAGGAACTGGAAAGCATTCAAGCACAGAGAGATCACACACTAGTATTTCTGTGCTGCACTGATATGTGATTCCTTAGGGCTAACCCTTCCAGCCTGCAGGAATCCTGCACACTCATTTGCATTTTCCCATTTAACTGCTGCCATTAAAGTGCAAGGAATCCTCCTGTAGGAAATCTCAGAATTATGCCAGAAGCATCGGGGCTTGTGAAATGATTCAACAATCAAAGAAAATCTGTTAGACGTAAAGGGAAAAATAGCCCACAGCTTAAGAGGTCTGATACTATGGGACACGGCAAGTAAAGTTCATTCCAGCAGAGTTGGTCATCTTTAAGCAGTCCTTTTTCAGCAGGAATGCTCACTGAGCTCCCAAACTAAATTCAGGAACTATTTTCTAAGTAGCTTTCTGCCTCAGCAGCTCATCACAAACGTTAGCTTACCTACAAATTATTATAACCAAAAAAGCTCCAGTGAGAGAATTTCACAGGAATTCACAAGTCAATATTTCAGATAAAAATGATACTGATGGCTGAACGTTCACTTGCTTGTTAAATGATACCTATGTACCCATCAGTCATTTAGGCACTTGCTAAATAAAGATACACACATAAAATGGCTTTGTTTAGCTTGAAGAAGAGAGTGAGGAGTGGGGATCTAATCAATGCCTTGACTACTTAGCAGAGCTGGGGGGGGGAGCAGGAGAAGACTGAGCCAGGCCAAAATCCTTTTAGAGGGAAGATTAAAAGATAAGCAGCCATACGCAGCAGTTACAGCATGGGAAATTCAAAGCAGGATTTTCCAATTTGGCTTTCAACCAGGAATTTCTTCCCCAGAGTAACACAGCCTGAGGACAGGAGCCCAGAAAGGTGGTAGATCTCCATCCTTGAAATTTTCAACAAACTGGAAGAGGTCCTGACCAGTCCGGTCCAACCCCCAAGTAAGCCCTGTTATAAGCAGGGACTATGCCTTCCAATTATTTTCCACTTTGGCTTAAATCAGTAGGCAGAAAAGGTGCTTGCAAAGTTCATAACTTATCCAAGCACCCAGACCCAAAAACTTTCAGCTTCTAACTTGAAAAAGTTCGCTTTTGTCCACTATATTTAATTTATTTTATATTTGAAATAAGAAATGAGCTAAGAATTGCACCACTAGTCTTTAAGAGGAAGAATGGCTAATCCCAAATCCAAGTATATGCACAGTGACAAGGAAAACGCTCTTTGAAGATCAAGAACTGCATTAGCCTAGCTCCAAAGGAGACAAATCAGTGGCGCCATTACTCAGACTTCCCATAAATGCCTTCAGCAGCACCTGGCAAATTAGTGACTTCAAAGGACTGTATCCATTGCCATGACAGACATGCAGGACAAATAGTTTCACAAAACCTCTTGCCTTCTCACATTATCAGAAATCTTCACTGGGATCCCTGGGCAGTATCTTAACAGAAGAGCACTCAAATTGAGATTTGAGAGTCTTAAAACAGGAATGGCTCAGCTATCAATAACAAAATGTGGTCATTCATGCTACTGTGGCTGGTGTAATTCCTTAGAATTAGTTTTAAAGGTCTCACACGAACTGTTCAGATAGCTGTTTAATTCCATTACTTTGACAGAAATTATTTTCTAGACTTTGAGGAAGCCAGCGATTTAGAGACAGGCAGTCTCTTCCTGCTTACAGTAAGCCTCATAAGGAGCAGCTGTCACTGCCAAGTCTTCCATTACCAACATACTTGATCTTCGAAATATTAACAGTCATATCAATCAGTTACACCGATTATTTGCACTAAAGACCACACAAACCACATCTTACGTCATGGCCTGGTATATTGATTCAATGCCATAACGCATTGCAAATTCATCCACGATCTCTTGTGCTGTCTCATCAAAATACACCTTCCAGGCATCATCTCCTTTGGCATCAGGGATCTTCACCACCCCATTCCCTTGCACATCTGTGAGATGGTGAAAGAGGTTCTGAAATACAAAACAGGAACAAAATTATTATTATTATGTGAGGCTGCTGGAGTCTCCAAGTGAGCTTCATGAAGCGCTTGGAACTGCTAGAAGGCAGCACCAACACAAGTTTCTTTGCTTGCCTCCCTCTTTCGTTCCCCCAACCCACTATGTATTTTTCTGCTTTTACCTTCTTCTTGAGTGCTCCCAGCTGAATTTTTTCATGCATACCTACGAGTTTACCCAGTGACATTGTGAATGATGCAGAGGAGTGCTTCAGTGCAGTGAAATCACAGACTAATTAGCTTCCTGAAACCTACACACTTCTGTCCTCAGAACGAAATGACTTAACATGGACAAGCTATTTAAACTAGCTGACGTAACAATTCAGTATGAGCTTTGTAATTACTGTTATACAGCAGAACAGCTCAAACAGATTTTTATTATTTTTTTTCTGAAAAGGACACCCTTAAGATCACCCCTAACAACTAGACACTTGCATTATTATTCAAGATAACCTTTCACTTTATCTAACACTGCAAAGGCTTTCAGCTATCATTGCTGTGCAGAAACTGCAGCTCAGTTCAGTGAGTTTCTCAGTAATCCTCAAATTCATGTCACTTACAGACTCATCAGCCTTTCAGACAGCTGGCTCCCTGTAGTAAGGGATGCAAAAGTCTAATGATCTCATTAGGAGCTAGAGGACTGTGCTTTACACTACTATTTGTCCTGATTAAATTATTCTAGCTGTAAATCATCTTCATTTTATGATACACAAATGAAAGAAGATGATACTTAAAAGCGACATATTTGTAAAAAAGAAGGGCAGCAAGGGATCGTGCATGTTCAGAAGGAGAAAAATGAAACAGCTTACCAGACAGAAGACATCATTGAAATAAAAACCAAGAAATATGTATTGAAGGACACAACACAGCCTACTAAAAGAAGCTTCCTGATGTTTTTTTTCTAAGATTCATATCTGCCTGTTCCCTGGTAAGGCCAGAAGACACCGTGTCTAGCCCAGCATCTGAGTAAATATGCTGTTCTCGTAGCTGAACATTCGTCTCTGTGATATATCAGTCCTTCTGTGCTAATCTGAATTTGCTTAAACCTCACTGGACATCATGATATTCTTTCATGTCAGGTGAAAGAAAGGGACTCTTCCTCATTCAGGCACTTAGAGACTGATCCTGCCACTTGCCTTCTCCTTGACAGGCAGAAGGGGCACCAGGCACCTCTCCAAGACAGGGTTTTCCCTTTAGCCATTCTCACAAGTCATCTTTGGATTTCTCCCAGCTTCTGCAGCGCTGCCTGGCCAGCTTAGTCCACCCTGAGACAGGCCAGTACCCAGTAACTGCAGCTTATCTCCTGTTCCCCAACAGCTGTTCATAGCTATACACCAGTGCAGTGGCACAGAAGAATTTATAACACCAATACCAGCATCCCTCAACAGGCAGAGTCAAAGCACTCCCCAGATCAGAATCCACTCATCAAGCATTTCAATAAGCCTTCTCTAAAGACAGACGTAGGTACAGTACACGCTGGAAACATGACTCAAGGAAATTCAGAGTTTTCTCCACGTTAAGGCCAGGGGGAAATCTGAGCTGGACTGATGTGTGATGTCCGCCTGGCAGCAGCGCGGCTGTGACAGAGACAGGCTGTGCCAGCCAGCCCTCCGAGCCGGGGAGACAGCCTGAAGCTGCCTTTGCCTTCCTGACAAACGCCAGTCTGATGATTCAGCGTGTTTCCAGGCCTCCAGAGCAGGGAAAAGAAAACTCATCTAGGGCAAGGAGGAGCATTTCAAGGGAATAAAGGTCAGAAAAACGCCTCTCCAGGAAAGAGAAGGGACGTGGCGATGACTGAGCTGAACCTGCTTCTTACCTCATGAAGGCAAGTGTACTGAATATGATATGGAGCCACCTTCTCCTCGCCTTTGATCTCCACGCTGATTTGCAGGCGGATAGCCCCGGATACTGCAGACTTATCTGTTCGCTTCTCTAGAAGGAAAAATCATCAGCAATTACATGCATTTTTCATGTTCAGAGCAAAGCCATCTCGAGTTAAGAACATTGGAAAAGAAACTGCTGAAGCTCAGACTGAGCTTGTGATCAGAGTCACCATGGAGAAAACTTTCTGACTCTTTTTCTTTCAAAACATTGAACACTAAGTAGATTATCAGCAAAACAACTGCCATGATACACCCTCAATAACAACACATCTAGCTAGAACTCTGTACACTTCTAGATGTAAGTTAGCCTTTCTGACAGGGTCTGGGGTTCAGTCAGCTGAACTAGAACCATCAAGGACACATCCCTTTCCTAAGAACAGAGCTGACATACGTGGAATTTGTTTCCAACTTGACCATAGTCCTCAGCCCCTAGAAATAACTGGCTGTCCCTATCAAGAAGATTTTGGACCTCCTTTGATTAGGAGGTCATATTACTGTGCCTGTCAATTCAGCACCACCTGGTTATACTTTCTACAACACTGTATTCTGGTTTCTGGGAAAGGTCTGAACAACTTCCCAGCCCGGTGCAGTGCACTTACACTGGTAAAATGCTTGTGTCAGCACAAAAAAGGGGCACAGGACAGGAAACATGTCTCCAGCGCAGATGGAATCCAAGCCTTGCTCCAAGTATTTACCCACTGCACTTTTCAATGCCTGACAGGGAAAACCCATCACCCTTCTGACATGTTATACTTTTCATTTTAACTGCTGCTCCACAGCACCATCATACACCCCTTGAAATCATGTGAGGTTTTTTGTTTGGGTTTTGGATTTTTTTTTTAATTTTCTTGCAAACTGCCCAGATGCACCCAAACGTTCTCAAACATTCCCAAAGTAACACATGACACGTTTTCAATCCCGAAGCCCTGCTCACCAAGGTTGTACCACACATCCATTTCTCCGCTCAGAGTACGGACTTCAATGATTGTCTGCCCCAGGAAATCATCCGACTCGCGTTTCAGTCTCTGCTTGACGCGAGACTTGATGTCATCATCTTCATCCCACACCCGCACCTTGATCCGGTCAGAGGAATTATGGCACTCACTGCAAACGAGACAAACGCAATGCTGAAGAGCACCTAATGCAGCCAGCATTTATATGCTACATTCTTCATGCTCCTCCTGACCCACTTGTCCAGCAATAGAGAGAGTTATAAACAAAATGTAAACAAATGCCTATTTATTTAGAAGTGTAGTGTCTGATAGGAACTGCACAACAACTTTTTGGTGTGCTCTAAATGCTCCTGTGACACAGCAGATTCTGCACGCTGAAGAAGTTCCCTGCCCTCACTGCAGCCACCAGCCTCAGACCTGGTGACTGGCTGGGACTGTCCTGCTCCTCCTTGCTCTCAGCAGCAGCTCCTGAACTTGGGAATTCTCTTCACTCTCATTGTTTCTGCTGTGAAGCCCGCAAAAGCCAGCTGACAGATAGGCTGGTAAACTCAGCATGCACACCCCAAAAATGCTGATGAGCATCTCACTGGTTCCTGATAGCTCCTCCCCGTCACCTTCCCCACGTTCAGCTGTAGGTGTTAAAGGCTACTTGTGTTCATGCACGTGCAATAGCTAGAATAGGAGAGTCAAGGCCTACAACAAACAACGTTAAAGCTGTTTTCTACTGAAAGACAAATAGGTCAGGTGGAGGCAGCTTTCCTACTTCAAGACAGTCACAAAGCAGTAGCGCATTAACGTACAATACATTACAACCAGATGATACAAACACTGCCTGTGCATGGGAGGAAAGGGTGGGCTACAGAAGTTACAAACTTGGTATTTAATTACTAGAATTGATTTTGCCTATTATTCACAGCTCAGACTGATAGTTTGTGCCCCAGGCAGATCATTAAAGACATTTGCATTTTAAAAAAGCAGTTTACTGTTTGCTGAATCAGCATCCTGCAGTTTAATGTACCCACAGAATTTGCAGCCTCCCTCTTTTTTTAGGTGCTCAGATACCTTTTGTAGACACAAACAGGCTCCTGGGTGTCAGAAGTGGGTAGAAAAACCTTATTATAAGAGCTCTGCTCATTTACAGGGCATGCAATACAATAAAGCAATTTGAATGCTCATATGAGACCATGACAAGGGTGATTACTCACCATAACCACTACAAATGTCTGCCCTCAAGGAAATAAAAGCTATGAAAATGGGCAACTTCTGCTGAAGGCCTGTTTTCCAGCCTTTTTAACATTAACATGCTGCATCTGTTGCTAAGCAACAGGGAGAAGGAGGAAATGGGTCAGAAGAGATCTGCCAAGCCCGGTCAATAAGATGTGGCAGTGACTGGTATTTGCATGCTCTTTACCAAGAAATCATATGGGCTTCTGTTGCCACCATTGTGATTCAGGACTGTTTAACACATGTCCATGCAGCTCCTACTGATTTTTCCAGTACAGAGGAATAGCTGGGAATTATACAGAGAAAGTTAGAGGCGATTCCATGCAGTCCGGATCACGGGCAGGGAACATCGCTGTTCCTTGCCTTCACTGAGCAATCAAAGCTGTGTTCAGAGCTCAGAAGCAAGAAGGTTCAATGTTTGTCTTCTGCCTTTATTCTCCCTCCCTCCCTCCTCTACTTCAAGGATGTCTTCCTTTAACAAAGCCATGCAGGAAGCGTTCAGGGGCAGGGAACCCTTGGACTGCTGCTCTTTGTAGCTCTTATATTTGTCCGAGTGCATTGCCATGTCTACCAGCAACACAGCATAAGCATGTAAAATAAATCCTCTCTTCCTGATACAGTGCACTAATGTACACCCTGGCGGTTCCGTAGAGGCTCAGTGTTCAGAAGTGCATGGGTCACTAAAAACACAGATTTGTACACAGTGACATTTACAAAGCACCAGCAAGTTAGTTCCTGACTTCTTCAGACCTCGCCTTCTGGCACATCAGTTCTTTGACGGGACTGCTTTGATCCTGTTTCTTTGCTACCAATGGTCAGAAACTTCTTTCCTTTAGGAAAACATTCACCATTTATACCTAAATCTACCTTAGGCGGTCCCACAAGCTCCTGGAGTGCCTTACAGCAGCATAACTCACTGCTAATGCTACAGGAAACTTTCCAGTAGCATTTATTGAGCTGCTGAAGCTTCTATTTTACCATACCTTTCTCTGCTGTTTTTAAGAGACTGCTCAATTCGTATTCCTTATGCTGCTCCCACGCCAGAAAGTGTGCCTTATCACTCGCTCACAGAAGCTGAAAGAAAGCCTTGGGCTGGTGGTTTACCCATAAAACATCACCATCTCAGTCTGTAGCAACCACAGTCCTTGCTTTAGGTGGAGCACGACAGTTGTGTCAACACCAGTTCACCTTCCAGAGAGCACCTCAAAACAGAATCATGAATACTGGGGAACCTGGGCTTGTTGACTGATAACAGGCTTTCTAACAATGAGAAACAGCTTCCAATTTGTGACAGCATCATGACTCCATAAGACTGTAGCTAACAAACTGTTGCTAGAAACTGTCCCCTTCATTAACAGGAGCTGGCACATTTCTAATGATGCCTATTCCACTTCTTGCTACGTTTTTGTGAAGCTGGATTTCACTGTGTGTACATATACGTCGGTCCGGTCTCCCACAGGGGAGCTCCCACAGCTTTCCTGAGGGGACGCAGAGAGAAGAAACACACTGTGACCCCATTGCAAGGAAGTAACTACCAAAAGCTTTCAGGCCCATTTCAGAGCACAAAAGACTGGAAACCAGGTTCCCTTTGTACATAGCTCAGAAATGGTTTCTTTCTTTTACACCCATATTGTCCTGATGCTTGCAGTGGTGCCTTTATTATGAAGAGCTAACTTTTACACTTCAAGCTACCAAATAAAGTAACATTTTCAAGAAGCAGCACACTAAATCTTTAAGAAAAATTAAAATAAAATAAATTGTGATTTTTTTTTTCCCCCATGAAGATTTTCTTCCTGAAGCTACTGATTGAAGGAGTGGAAACAGCTGAGCTTGGTTCTGCTGACTTGCCCTCTATCCCACTCTCTACCTTCATCTCTTCTGCCGTGTCCCCCTTAAGCTTTACCCAACTCCCAACCACCACCAGTTGCCCACACACGTCCCCCACCCTGTCAATACTCTGGCCTCTTCCCATGCCCATCTATCCACAAGCTGGGCTGAGGAGAAGCACGCGAGCACACGAAGCTGTGGTTAATTCTGATCCTCACACACAGGGGCATGCCCACACACATGCTAATTGGTATATCGGTGGCTAAACAGAACAGGCGACTGCTGAATTTACACTATAGCGCTTCCCACAATGAAGTTAGTAAATTGTATCTTTCTAATCTAGCTTCAGTTTCCACCAAAAAAAAAAAACCTGTAGGAAATGATTATTAGTTCCAAGACCTCTGCCCATATATAAAGGTTGGCCCAAATTGGCTCGGATGATGCCAGGGGCCTGGGATGGGAGTATTGCATGTGCCTTCTATCCTCCAAAAGCGGAAAGAAAGGAAAAGAAGAAGCGTCTAAAAATGACCAGAACAGCACTTTTGAGACAATGATTCATAGTTTGAAACAAAAAATCAAGACTTTCATGCTGAATTTGCTAATCATCTGCTATTTCTGCTGAAGACATTTGCAGGACTGTTACTTAACCTCCACGCTGCAGGAACACTAACACCAAAGCCATACGCTTTGTTAAGTTATGGCAACACTGACAGTTCGCTAATGATCTGCCATAAGAGGTACAAAGGTATATCTGTAAAACCATGCGTCCAGCAGTTCACAACAAAGTAAAGATCGTAAGTTCAAAGCACAGAGAGTGCCCAAATTGAAAACCTGTAGCCTTCTGACACCATTAGCTCACGCTGGTGAATCTACACTGATGAAGATGGTCTGGCAAATAACTGTAAGGGGGTTTTAAGGTCCATTTGTGTCACATCTGCATGAATTTTTCTTCCCAATCAAATTCTCATCTCAAGAAAGGTGTTACCAACACATTAGCCCTGCAGGAGACACCAAGCCCTCGGCTTCATTTCAGTAATGCTGCAGTGACACCTGGGCTGTGCATCTCTAAAATGCATCGTGCAGACTGGAGAGGTGGCACGCCAAAGTGACCTTATCACTTCATATGCCCATTTCACCTCAACATCTTTCCTTAAATTATGGTGTTTTCTCCTATTTTCTGCCTGAAGAAGAGGAGAGTTCAGAGGCCATCAATGCAGCCAGGACTCCACTGTGCTTGGCAGCTCCCAGACAGACAGACAGTCCCTGCCTTCTGGAGCTGACAGGCAAATAAAGGTAAAAAGCAACAAGCAGACACAGCAAGTACAAACAATGGAAGTGAGGGAGCAGAGGCAGCAACAATACTTTGTCGATTTGAAAGTAGGGCAGTCAAGTCCAGAATGAAGAATTTTTGTTGTGTTTTGATATTTAAAAAATATTTATGGCTCAGAAGTATGTATACGGCCATATTCTGTGAGCAGTTCCCCTTCTACACCACGGCAGATGCAGCTCTCAGGATGTGCCTGTGAAGTTTCACAGCCCAGTGCGGGACACGTTTCATGCAATGGTGGAGAAAGAAAGTGCAGAGCTGCAATCATTTTAGAAGGAAAGTTTTGCTTCCGAGGAGCAAAACTTAAAGAAAAAAAAAAAAAGGCAAAGCTATTTTCTGGAAAATGGGAAAGGAAGGAGTAATTGCAGCAAACCAGTATGAGAAAGCCCAGTAAAGAGTTATAACAACATACACACAGAGCAGAAAAAAAGCTGTCTATAGGAAATGGTCTGGCTGAAAAAGCAGGAAGATTTGGATGTGGTTCAAATGTGTCTTGACACGGCAGGGTCCATCTGGCAGCTCTGTTGTGGCCAACCTCAGTGGGAACAGAAGGCAGAACACTTCTCAGGCCAGGTTAATTTTTAAACAATGCCAAGTGTCCTCTCTTAGGGAGAACAAAAGGAGAGTGGAGAAGACACCGAAGGCAAAATCAGAGTGGTAAGACAACGAAACTAAAATGCTTAGCAGCTTAGAAGTTAAGTACGACAGCACAATAATATGCCCCGAGATCCAGATGTTGCTGTCTAAGAACAAAGAAATGAATTTTCTCTTCTTACTAGCATGAAGCTCTTTTCTTAGGGGAACAAGTGCAATCATTTTGCTGTTACCCAATGCTACAACACCGACTGACAAATTAATGGTGTGGCTCTCCCAACTACAAAGAGCAGATAAAGTGATTCTGAGCGTTACATCCTTAGCTACACTAACTCAGCTTCCCAACAGGGGCTTGCCACAAGGCATCAACCCTGCGTTCAAATTCAAATTTCACATTGGTAACGGAGCAGGGAAACAAGCGGGATTTTATCAAGAGTGCCAGTTTCAGTATCTGCAGTACCTGGGGAATAAAGCAAGCAAGACAAACTGCACGGCCCCTGCCATGCAGTGAAGGGGAGGCTGAGGGTGCCGAGTCACAGTGACGTTTATAAACACAGTGGTCTCAGAAGGGGAAGTCTAAAAACCAGCTCTGGAACAGTCACATACAGCCACAGAGATAACTGAAAGATGCTGAGCTTGATAACAGGCTCAGCAGCGGAAAGGAAAATTGAGGAACTAAATAGAAGCTTTTGGGTGACAGCCCAGTGGTTAGGTATGCAATAGCGCCATTCCCAAAGGATTAACAGGAATGCCTGTCATGTGGGGCGCTCTGCATGTCCTAGCAAAATATTGATTATCTGCTAGCGGGAGGCACTGCGTTTATTTTAACTCAGTTACTCTTCTGCGGTGAGAGAGAATAAACAGGCCTCTTGCAGACTCCTCGGTGACAATGTAATCTGTTCCAGGCAATGATTTCACACCCACCATTCAAAGCTTCAGACACAGCTGTATTCAGACAATACAACCAAGGGGATATTACTGTAAAATGAATGAGTCATTTTGTGCCTTGGCCAAGAAAAACAGCAATGTCCTGTTTGAATCCAGTAACTTCTAGTGCTCACAGTCATTAAAGACTGGGGGGCTTCCTGAATAAAAGGCACAGACTAGCAGCCCTCCGACTGAGCCCAGGGCTCTCACTTCATAATGGAAACTTTGTCTTGTGGTCAAGTTTATTCTCCTAAACACCATCTGCCATTATAACCCATTCAAATGGATGCTCAGCTTCAGCCTTTAAAAAAAAAAAAAAAGATTCTAGGAAGACTGTATTTTCTACTGACAGCCTAAAACATGTCTAAAAGGGGAATTAATGTCTTGTTCTAATTGCACTGAATAGCGCAAAAATATCTTCCCTCTAATATTACTGGGCTGTTTCCTAAGGAAATGAGAGTTACACAGACTTGTTATGAAAGCTTCCAACAAATTTTGAGAAAAAATTACAGCTAGATGGAGAAGAGAAACCCACACCAGCTGCTGTCCCTGGAAAGTCTGCAGCCACCTGGCTCTTATGCACCAACTGATCCAGACAACTCACAACCAGCGGGAGGTAGGACATGTGCTGCCTTCTCTCCAGCCAGAGTTAAGGGCAAGGGAAGGGAGCTGAGGGCACAGAGGAGAAATCTACAGGGCAAAGTAAGGAGGCTGCCTATTAAGCATCCTCATCACAGCTATAGGAAAGGGATCTGGGATTACTGCAGAAGGGGAAAGGGATGTAAAGCAAGGGAAGCACTCTTCCATGCTCACAGAACAGCATTTCTGTATTGCAGCAATGGCTGGCGTCCCCCATCAGGCTTCTTCCTGCCAAGTACCATAGATATGCAGAGTCTTTGCATCAAGCCTGAAAAACTTTGAACTGAGCAGAAAGATCAAGACCGTGTTCTATGATTCTATTCTATGATTCTATGAAAATCTCTCTATAACAAAATGTTTCCTAAAACTAAAAATGTAAAATAGGTCTTCAAACTCCAATGAAAGATACAAAAATCTCTCTATAACAAAACGTAAATATCCAAAGAGATAATTTTCAGAAAGAAATAGGACCTGCAATCACCTGGCTCAGGCAACATGAACATGCTCCAGGAACTCGTCATTAATCTAACAGATGCCTACAGTGACACAGGCTAGTAGTGACCCAAATAGCACTAATAATGGAAACCCAAAGTGTTTTCATCATTGTCTTCTCTAAGAAACAGTTCTAAATCTGGACTTCCGAATCAGGTCAAGCCTACCACAACATTTTTTTTCTTAAAATATATAGAAAGGGAACAAAGTCATATTTAAGGCGAGGTATTTCAGTTAATATACTTTTCCATCCATCACTCCAAATAAGCACAGAAAGACTAGGTTACTGCAGCCTTAAAATTTTAAAAACTTGTTTAAGCTGCTTTTAATAGACTTTACTGCATCTGTGGAAGGAATCGTATCACTCAGCTGTACATAGTCTGCTTCAATTCATGCCACGGATTACAATAACAATGCTGCAATTATAATGACTGATGCACACAGATTTCTGGCTCTATATCCAACCTTTGAAAAAGACACTGGAATTGTGATCGTTTAAAAAACACTGGGCACCTAATGAATACCAGCTACAAACAAGTCTGTCCAACAAACCAAACAGAAAGGGAACAGCAATTGCTCACCCACACATTAATTACTGACCTGACCTCTCTCTGCTCACAGATCTTGCGCCCATTGAAACGTTTAAGCATTTTTGAAAACCAAGCTGTTCATATGTCTGCTGCAAGCTAGGTGTGCAATAACTACCAGCACACCTTTCTCCCACTGTAACAAATTAACTTCATTCTAAGAAACAAAGACATACAACCCAATCTTTCAAATTTGACTACCTCTTGATTGTCCTGACAATGTCTTCTAAAAAATCTTGGTATGTAATGGGTATTTTTGGCCTGCATACATTGATTTAAATCTCTATTTGATTACGGGGTAAAGAATTTCAGAAATTTTAAGATTTGTAAACTGAAAACAAGATCTCTAAATGCAAAAAATGAAGATGGGCATGTAAAAGACCAGTGCTGCATACACTTCCAAATGACCCCCTCCTCATCCAGCAGAAGAGCTTTGACTTCTACTAATGAAACGACACATTGATTCCAGTGCTGAACGCTCTCCTGCCATCGATCTACTCATTTCCTTCATCTCCCCTTCCTATTCCAAGGCAATTAAAACAACCACTGAGACATAGGTAAGATAGAAAGTAGCACCAACTCTTATGCCCAAAAAGCATATTATCTGCTGAATCACAGACATGGTGATAAAATCTAAACAGTGTACCGTTAAAACTGTGACATTTATCATGTTGCGCTATCTATCTTTAAACACAGTTGTCGAAGCTCCTAAAATTAGAAGGGAACACACTGCAAATACCATGGTAACTACTTGGCATGGTAAATCAAGGTCCTTAAGGCTCCCACATAGACTTATTGCTATTGTGACTAGAGTTATCCAAATGGCACCTAAGCATACTTACTACTTACCAAGCAGTAATGTTACCTTGGATTAAACTAAGAAAAAAGCCAAGGGCTTACTTGCTCAAAATAGCACCAAGATTTTTCTGACATTAATGAGTGGCACAAAACTGCTTCAAAAATAATTTTGTTTGTTCTGTGCACTGTAAAGACAAAGCTGGGCTGATTTTAAAACACAAATTTCAGTTTACAGAGAGAGCTCCCCTCAAGCAGTTAAGGAAAAAAGAGGGAAGGAAAAAAAAAGGAAAGGAAGAGGAGGTACCAGGGAAGACCTTACACATTCTAGGAAATAGAGATGCTTGAGGTTGAATGAGATAATTTAAAATCTTCAGAAGACACTGCTTGGTGGATTTCATGTCTCCATTTTGTTTTGTAACATGTTCAATGATAAACTGAGGGTACTGTTTACTTATTCAATAACAGCAGGATGGAACAATACATTCTTCAGCCTTCTGAGAGTAGTTGATTTCTAAAGAATTGTGCCTCCAGCCTTTGCTTTCATTTCAGACATGGATGCATTGCTCATCTTGAAAGCAGATAATCCCATGCTTTATTGTTACATTGATTTTCCAGAACTGAAAAGGGAAACTGGTAGTGTCACAGACAAGTGACAGACAACTAACTACCTTTAACCTTTGTTGGTCAAACACCAGTAGTAGGTCATGGGAAGTTTGCTTAGTCTTCTATATAAACTTTACTCTTTCATATTACAAAGGATTTTGAAAGTATGTCTATTAGCCAGGAATAAAAGTCGCTGAGTTCAAGATTTTCCTTCCTGTTTAGCTTTCCCTAGAAGCATCAATATAAACATGTTCACAGAGCAGGCAATTTATACACACACAATTAAGAGAGATGCAATGGACAGGTGGGCACTACATACAATGTTAAAGACTTCAACCCTCCAGACACACACAGACAAGGCTGGGGAGAAACACATTACAGGTGGTGTTGGGAACGCACGCTGACAGAGAAGACAGAGCTGATGAAGCACAGACTATACAACGGGGCAAAATGGGGCTGAGAGTCCTTGTAAGAGTACTTACAAGTAAAACTTCTCTTCCCAAACAGGGTTCAGATTCCCAAAAATCGTTTTTGTCCTCTTCTTTGTTTTACCCACTTGAACGGTTACGTATGGATCGCTGGACCCGGTCTTGTCTTTGGCCTGCAGACCCTGAGCACACACCACTGGAAAGAAAAGAGAAAGGTTACCACCACCATGCAATAAGACAATGCGTCTGCACACCATGTGAAGCAGCAGCTCAGAATGGCCAGAGGAACAGGGATATCACTCATGAAAGCTCTCTGATGAGCCTCACAGCTTCGTGCAGGAGTATCTCTACCTGCTACCTCTACACTGAGCAGAAAGAGACACACGACAGAGAAGCCTTTCCTCTCCATTCTCTATAGCTTCACACCAATTCTCTCTTACCTCGGGCTTCCAAGCAAGGCCAAGAGAATCCATGTCTCCCTCACTCACCTGTGATCGTGATCTTTGCTGACCATTTTGAGGTGCCATCAAGCACGCTCTGCTTCACTGTCTTCATCTGCTGAGCATGTGTCAATTTGCTCTCACAGAACACATCTCTGATCAAGTCAAAGATCTCTGGCTTGTTCCGCTCCCGGATTTTCATGCGATCCTTCATGGCCATGATGAAATTCTGGGTTCTGTCTTCAGCTCCATGCTTTGAGCTCTTTTCCGCTGCTCCTGTGCACCATGAAGTACACAAAGCTCATCAGAAACAGACAAGCACAAATTCACATTTCACTGAATCTGGACAACAGGATCAAAGCCATGAGATATGTTCCACATGATGGCTCTTGCTATTGACTTTTACAGTCAGACTCTCCACCCCCATTTCAACACGCACACAGGAGAATCTGGACCACTCAGAGCTGGAAAGGGATAATAGAAGGGGAGAGTTGAGACTCCTTTATCATCTGAGACCAGGTTGTTCTCCACAACAGGCTTTAGCTCAATACCCCTGCAGCTAAGGAAGACCCAGAAATGAGCTTCTTACTCCTAACAGCATATATCTTCATGTCCCCTCCTCTCATCACCTTGCTCTGAAATCCCTGGTTGGGCAATTGCTAAGAGGAGGATGCAGTAACTCCATTACAAAGAGTATCTAGAGCTTGTCTCAGTGCTGCACCCCTGCAACACGGTGTCATGGTTTAACCCCAGCTGGCAGCTAAGACCATGCAGCTGCTTGCATAGTTTTCCCTCTTCCTCCCTAGAAGGGCAAGGAAGAGACAGAAAAAAAGGAGAAAAGGAAAGGGGGAAAAAAAAACCCAGGGGTTGAGATAAGGGCAGTTTAACAGTACAGTAACAGTGAAAGGAAAACGATAGCAATAATAATAATAATAATGGTAAAAGAATATATGAGATAAAGTAATACAGATAAAGTAACACAACACAAGCCACCTGGTGAACTCATTGCTCAGCCCTCCCTAAGAAGTGACGGTGGATTCCTACCTCCCAGCCAACTGCCACTTATGCTCTGAGCATGACATCTATGGCACATTATATTCCATTGGCCATTCTGTTGTTCTGTCCCTTTCAGCTTCTATGGGAAGCTGGAAAAAGTCCTTGTCTAGTATAAACATCACCCAACAACAAGGAAAGCAATATGAATTATTGACATTCCTTTCATACCAAATCTGAAACACAGCAACCACTAGAAGGGAAACTATCTCTATTTCAGCTGAAACCAGAAGACACAGAAGAGCAGAAGTTCAGATGGGCCAACATGGTCAGCATTTTCTACTGATGAGTGCCCCAGGACTCCCCATTCAGCAGAGTCCCTGCACAATCTATGTCCCATTCTTCTGCCAGGAACCACCCTGCCTGGATGAGGCATCCAGCCAGAGGCGTCCAAAGTGCCTCTCTGGATCCCACTTTATATTATCAGGTTCTAAGGACACAACTTAAATAATCCATTCTTAGAATTGCATAGGCATAGTAACTACAAAAAATACCTATAAGGCAGCAAATCCAATAGTTAAAAACTTGGGCCATGGTAGGTATGGGACAGTAGCAGAGTATCTAGCAGCTGGAATCACAAGATCCAGTTGTAGGTGTTTGTACTACACAGGTATTTAACTGTAACTGTAAAAAGAAAGCCTCTGGTCACTTGCATACATCTTCTGAAATTTAAAAGTTCACATAACTATGAAATAAAAATGCTCCCACAACCAGCTACTCCCTACACAATTTTGACAGTCATGTTTACTCTCAAAATCCAGCCACTGACTACTGTGTCAGATGTGAGGCATGCTTTAACGAAAGCACCAACATGAGATAGCAGGGCAGAGAAACCAGGGTGTGAAATGAAAAGCAGGAACCCAAGACTGCACACTGTCTCTCTACCTGCAGTCTGCAGTGATCTCAAGTTATGATCTTATATCAGATTAAGTTAAACCAGTACAGAAGTCCCACAAACGCATTCAATCATAGTATTTGTGTTTAGCTTAATAACCTTTTGCTTGTTTTTCTTTTCTGCGATAGTTTAATTAAAGCAACCTTTGTCATAGAAAAATGATCTTCATTCAGGTATCCACCAAATATTAAATTACCTTAAAAATATGCATTAAAGCAGGTGCACGTATTTGCAAAGGGAGCCATCAATCACAAAGATACATGAAACTGTTTTCTTCTGGAAGAAGCGGGCAAGTAAGGTATCTGGAGCACCTTTAATATATGGCATTACACTTTTGCATATGAAACAGTTTCAGCAGGTAGTGTCCAAATCTGAATAAAGTTCTATGAACACAGACACATAAAGGACCCCCAGCAGTACAACATAACAGGCAACCTTGTTAGCAGGCTCGACAGGGTGCCAAGTGACTAACACTGCCTGAAGACATCCATTTCTAGAGCCTTCAATCTTACACCTTTCACCGTTACTAAATTCACTTCAATAAAGAAACAAAACTCAATTATAACTTCCACTATCCAACCAAAAAGAAAAAAGAAAAAAAAAAAAACAGTTTGGAACAGACTGTGACTGCTGAAGTTTCAGAAGTTCATTAAGGACACTGCATACCAAGGCATGCTATTAAAGACCTGCGTATAAAACAAGCCATAACTCTGCATTACCTGATAATTATTTTTTTCATTTTACTTGCTACAGGCTTGATGTTCAGTATTTCATTTAGTACAATAAAACGTATCTGCCCCAGAGTTCTCTATTGTTGGCTTAAGATGAAATGAAATCAAAATACTGGAATTAATTACTCTGTCCCTGCTGTCTCTACTCACTGGTGATGAAGAACTAGCACCACCCAAAGTGATGTCTTGCATCAGGCAATCATCCAGCCACAGACCCAACATTTATTAAAGGAATAAGAAACTGAAATGATCCCAGGGGCTATACTTTGAACTTCACAGAAGAAGTGCTATTCAGCTTTAACAGAACTAGGTCTTCTGGGGATGGAGGTGGACTCTATGCTGTATATGCAGAGCTACAGAAAATTGTTGGCAAACTGGGAAATGCCAAGCTGAACAATTTGCCTTTCCTAGCTGGAATTCTGAAATCTGTTGCGATCCAAAGAAATCCAACCCTGCCCTGACCCTTTCTAGCTTTAAGGAAATTAAGAAGCTAATTCAAACGTTAACAGTTCGTGTTGTGCATAAGTGGAGTGCTCTATTTCAGAACCATTTTCTAAAAAAAAAAAAAATACCAGCTAGGCAGCTTGTAAATATAAATGTTTCACTGTTCCCCACTGAGATGGGGCAAGAGTTATCACAGTTCTGGAATGAAGTGGCATGGTCTGCATCTTTGCCTTAATGCAAGCATTCCAGGAGCATCAAATGATGCTTTAGAATGCAAACTTGGACAAATGGAAGAATTCTAGTTAAAAACATATTTAGCATCCCCACCTCTTCCAGAGACCTTGCATAGTGGGGTCATTTATCCCTCTGCAAGGCTAGCAGCAGTCCAGGGTATCCTGGGTTGCAGGATGTGTAAGCTATGTCACATAGACACCAAGAGAGCCTCCTCTTTTGTCACCTCTAAGGCTTGGCTCTGCTTTCTGACTTTCAGACAAACCTCCCCTCCATCCATGCCGCTCTCTGGATCTGCCCAGATAATTTGCCCAGGTAAGAAGGCTCCATCATTCCTTCTCTGGGAAAGCTCGCTCTCTCCCTGCAAAGGTTGCACCTGAACTGCAGTGCAAAAGCCAGAATCAGATACCTTATTTAACAATATGGAATGTGACTCAACAACACGCTCTTTCTTAATTTTAACACCTGCTTGTTGGTACAAAACCCTTATTTAACAATACAGACTCTGATTCAACAACACGCTCTTTCTTAATTTTAACACCTGCTTGTTGGTACAAAACCACCAGAGTTTCCAAATCACCATTGGGTGATTAATTACCTATAATGTATGTGATATAACCCAAAGCATGTCATTATACTGGACAGCAGAGGGTGATTTTCCTGCCATTGAACTTGGACAGTATTGATTCAGTTGCAAAAATAAGATTTTGGCCAGTGGATCTGCGTTTCAAGTAGTCCTATAAATGGCAATAGGAAGGCACAGGAATGTACAAGTACTGTGCACAGTATCCTGCAAACAGTACTGGGATTTTCTTCTCTCTTCCTCTCTAGGACTGAATTATGAGTCAATTTATGACTGGAAACAGAAAGCAAATATGTCTATATTGGGAATTGTATTGATACAGCTATTAGTAAACCACCAGTGCTGTTATCCTATGCTTTAACAGGAAAAAGTCAAGAAAGCAACATTGGCAGGATAGAAGACAGCTGTTCAGTAGGCGGATAATGCTTAGAAATTATATATTCCTGAAACTTAAAATAGATATTCAAGTTTCAAATAAAGGTATCCTTCCTCCTTCTGTGCAAATATTTTCCTACATAGGATTCTGGGAGCAAACAAGTGTTCATCTCCATAATGCCTAATCATCATTCAACCTAGAAGCCAAGATGATTATCACGAGTGACTTAATTGGTCTCACTAACAGTCCACTCACTGAGCCAGCCTCTGGACTGCAATCTCTGAATTTGGTGTGCAACACACATGTTTCTTATCCAAAAAGCTACAAACATCCTGAGTCAAGCAGAACTGAACAAATCCACAGGCAAACCATAAACTCAGGAGCCAAAACAGCACCAAAAGCAGAGCACTCAGTAATGCAGTCCTAATAGTTCATGTGAAGTTCTCCAACATTTGTTGCCAAAGAAGCACTAACAGACACATGGCTAATTACACTCACAACAGAGATTTCGTGTTCAAATGTAGGCTGAAGCTTGAGGCCTCATTTCCTTTCAACACTGCCAGAGGACCAGGTTCTGATATCCCAGGACAATTTCTTTTCTCAGGTTTAACTGTAATTTACCAAGGACTAGATTAGCATCACTACAAAAAAACCAAAACAAAACACCCAGAACCTGGTGAAAAAAAACCCAAAAACCAAAAAACCACCCAAGATACACTTGCAGAAGCAAGTTACTATGGCTTTTCAAATGCCGGCCTAGAACTGTACAGGCCCCTTCCAATAGGATCTTGCTAGCATAACGTCCTTCACTGCCACCCTACTCATAATCCTTCTTACTACTCTGCAACTGTTCCTTGGTATCCTACACATTCATCCTCAGCTTTACTCTTCCTTTGATACCAACGTTGCCCAACCTGTTGTATTTTTATTAGTACTACACCAGTGCTCAGGGCAAGAGATAAAAGCTCTCTTTTTCCCAAAGCTTTGCCTGCTACAGGGATTTTTAAGAACATCCCTCCAACCATTTTCAGCCAAGTAAGAAAGGAAATGTACCCATGCAGCAGAGATTTCAAGTACTTTCAAGAATAACAGGAGGCTAACAAGAGAGCATCCTCCCTTGAGCAAGTATTTATGAGCTTATGATAAAAAGGTAAGCACCCCATCATCAGAGTAATATCTTCTAAGTACCTACAATAGAGAAACATCCTCTCAGACAAACAACCTGGTGCCAACAGAGCCATAAACCAGATGGCTGCAGTACACATGCCACAACTGATTCCAGTTTACTGCACTGTGCCAATTCATGGAACAGCCCTCCTGAACCAGCCTGCAAATGGATTTTGTTTCAGATTGCAACAAAGCATTATTAAATTTGAGTATTTCCTTACTGCAGTCCCACACATTTGTTGACTGTATCATTTACCCTCTATATTTTTAAGAACCTGAGTAAGAAAAAAAACCTCGGCAGAAATAATAAAACTTAATTCTAACAGACTTGAGGAAAGAGATCCTTTAATTTCCCACAGAAAAGCAATGAAGGACAGAATATGAATAAACAGCACATTCTGAGTCTAAGGAATCAAAATCCCAGATTTCCCAAAATTTCAAGGCATAGGCCATGGAACTGTATTTGTGACCAGCCTTAAAATCCATTTTACTCAATGCAACATCTTCTGGAAGACTTGCACAGACTGAAGTGAAGATACATCCTGAGGCATCAGGGTATAATCAATAGAATTGTATTTGTTACCAGCCTGAAAATTCATTTTACTGCAATGTAACATTTTCTGGAAGACTTAAATGGACCTAAGTGAAGATATGTCCTGAGAATGTTGGGTTTTTTTACTGGCAGCAACAATAAAACTTCTGTTAGCAAGAAACCTCTCCTGAGTTCAGTACACAGGGAAGTTCTGTCTGGAATTTATTGGATCTCTAAACCATTGTTTGTCCTCCAGAAACTCCATTTTCTCATTCCTCTTCAAACACTTATAAGAATTAATTTAATTCTTCCATATTTTCTGGCCTGGTGGATTCCAGTGAGAAGGATCTTAGCATGAACATTGCAAAGCAAAGAACACAGCTGTATGAAAAAGTCTGTTATTAGATTTTTAGTACTGATATAATTTGTTTTCCCAACCCAGCAGCACATCCACATATTGGCCTCACCATCTTCTTAATCTTTCAGCACTATCTTTCCTCTGCGTCTTGTGTCTTTTAATTCCACTATTGCCATTTTCAGTTTTCTATTACTCACACTGGGTACCTCCACAGAATCCTGGCTGACAGTCTCTGTATCTTCCCTGTTCTGATGCTGGGCAGCTTTCAAATAACTCAGTAGCTAGTAATGTTTTTGTTTGGTTGGGTTTTACCTTTATACAGGCTTCACAAGCCTATTTGTGAAACATGGAGTACTCTCAGTTGTTTCCTCTCTGTTCTTTAACTCTGCATGCTGAAGTACCTCGTGTATACACTTTTAAAGGAACGTGCAAAGCAAACATCTGCAATTCCCTGAATAAAACGCTCTTATCTAATGCTTTGCCATATGAAAAGTGGAGTAATTTCCAGTTGTGGCTTCCATTCCATAGAAAAGTACAGACTATTGCCATCATCACATCCCACAGCCCATTGCTTAAATTTAATTCCAACCAGAGATTACAAAACCTGTTCCCATAGTTATTCTTCAGATGCTGTTCCAGAGACTCCTGGTTCTCATCACTGAAGCTGTCTTCTACTTCCACCTTTAATTTTCTTACAGCAAATTTACTCCATTTTTCCTTCTGTAAACAGTAAGCTTAAGCAGACCGTCTTCCTCCCTGCTGCTTATCTCCCTCTTCCCCAACATAGTTCAGGCATAAACAGGTTCAAACAAGGATTAAATCAATTCACCGAGCCATCACTGCCAGCTATTAAACATAGCATCTACTGCTCTGAAAAGCTTTAAGCCATGGATAGCTGCAAGAGCCAACCAGGGCCACAGGAGCTCTACACGCACATGTCTTACAGCTCCACCTTGGGCTCTACAGCATCATGTTAGAAACATTCTATTGGGATAGACTTAGTATGGCTATTTTTTCTTTTTTTTTGAAACAGCGTCGTTCCTGCCCCACACTGCCAAGCCTCTCTTTTGAACGATTAACAAACTCATACCAGCTTCTCTCAGGACATTCTCGTATTTTCCCCCTTACCACTGAACTCCCTTCAGTCCCCATCCCAGTCTGAAGTCTTCCTTCTTGAACATGGATAGCCACAGCTGCCCTCTCCAGCAATATAATTCCTCTTAGTCATTCACTATTTCTGAAATTTAGCATTCTTTCTATTGTTTTCAACTTCGTGATGACCTCTGCTCTCTACAACAGCTTTGTGCCTGTTTCCTTGCCGTTGCTGGTGCGCACCTAACTTTCCTCTGCTCTGCATATTGTTCTCCCCATAGTGAGATAACACAACTCCTGTGCAATGTTAGAACATCTTGGACACACTGAATCAAGCCTGGACGTGCGCATCAGCAGCTTTTCATCTCAAATACTGAAAAATCACCAGATAATAGAGGGTTCTGGTGAACTTCAGAAGCAAACAAAGTTTTCCTGAGCCTAACTGACCCTCTACATCAGGTTTTGACAGAAACTGAATTATGGCTTAACTGCATTCTCCAACTGCAACACAGCAGCTCTTTGATTAGTCACAAACTGGTTGCAACAAAGCCAAGGTGTCAATGATGTGATTCCTTGAATGCTATAAACTGTAAAGACCAATCCAGAAACGCTGAGTGACTGAGGAGGAACAGAGATGTTTCACTGGTATCAGCTGTGTCTGATAAATAAGCCACTGCAGAAAGCCCCAATCCTAACTATAAATTACTTAAAATTTTGCACGCATCAAAAATACAAGCATAAACAATGTCTATTTGGGGTACAAAGTTAAGCCATAAGAAAAACAAGTGACCTAAGATTCAGTGGTATCCCCTGCTGGATCATCCCCTATGCCTTTCCCAAACTAGAGCCTGAGGCAGACACAAGCTTTGACTTTATATTCGTATAATCACTGACACGGATTTGCATTAAGTCTGTTTATACCTCACAAACTTTTCTTTTTCCTCAGACTTAGTCCATCACGCTGGAATGCCAAGCAAAGCAAGAGTGAAGAGAAACAGCCCCACCTTCCTACTCAAGATTTGACACATATGGCAGGAATTTCTATTCCATTTAGATCAAGATATTTTCTTCTCAAGCAGGAACATAAATGTGAGATCAAATCAAGAAACAGTTTTAAAAGCAAATAAAAATAACCTGACCAGGCCAGATGCCCAAATTAATACTTTTTCTCTCTCCCTTCTCCCTGCCTCCCCCCCTCCTTTATTCAAATTCCTTTTAAAGTACTCCAATGTTTGTGTAAGGTCTCATCTATTCTGCAGCGTCACAGCTCTTTGAAGAGCATTCTTTGAAGAGGGGGCTTAGTTTTTGAATTCTGCACAACAGAAATGCTACTCAGAAGATGAAATACTGCCCTTAAATTCAAATAACACCTTCCTATCTGACCCATCATCTGTGCTGGCTCATCCCAGTCTCTGAAGTGATTCAGCCATGAGACCCTACTGTTAAAAAGACAAAATGCCTCTCCAATCTGCAGGTGGTACAGAGAATCTGAGCAAAATCCATGGACTATGTCCCCTAAGCAGGAACCCAGTTGCAGCTCCAAACAGTAAAACAGGCTGACGGCTAAAACAAGCAACCTGTCTGGGGCACCATGGCAGACTGAAAATCAGAATATCTAGCCTAGTACCCTGTTCACCCAGCTCCCTGCCTCTCTACCATGCAGGATATGTTGGCAAATACACTACCTGAGCTGACAGATTAAGCATTACATGGCTTAAAACCAAATAGATGTGAAATAGTCAAGAACTAAACCTTCTTTTAAACACAGCACATCAAGCGCAATGTTGCAAAGTTCTTCTGCATCAGGTGGAGCTGCCCATGCCCACAGGGCGATGGGGTTAAGTTTGGCACCTTTTCAGAAAATATGCAGTCGTTTTAATAAATGCATCGTCACTGATCATGGAGGTATCATCCCCTCTACATTCAGGAAAGCTCTGATGACATTTTTGGAAGGGGCAGGCTCCACCGGCCACTACTCACTCTGCAAGCAGTCAGCGTTGAGCAGGTCTTGGCACTTCTCATGGCACTTGACTCCACATTCCCCACAGCGCATTCCCTGCCGCGCGATGCCCCACAGCAGCCCCTCACATTCGTAGCAGTAGGTGGGAGTTGTGGCTGTCCACACTTCGAAGTTGTGAGGGGTCGTACAAGAGATGGGGTAAATTAAGGCTTGCAAGGTCTTCTTGTAGACATGAGATTTCTGGAAGGCAAGAGCACACATCAGCCAACATCCAGGAAGGTGAGCAAACCTATTTTTGGTGGTGAACACACACGTTTTGAGGGAAAAGGCATGAGCAGTGCAATAAATCTACACATCTGAGGCAGCCAAATTTATCAAACTTTCACAAGCAGCAGCAGAGGACACCCTTCCAAAAATGCTTCTCCAGGCATTTAAAAAAGTGGAGGAGCTGGAAGAAAAGAATTAAGGTTTGTGGATGAGGGATATCTTGCATAAGGCAAGTTTCACACACTGTCTCCCATGGCAGATAGCAGAGAAGAAAATGGTAAGATTAAATTTTTCAGGATCATATTGACACATTAAATGTTAGTTTTTACATGTTTGGTTTCTTTGAACAAATGATACAAGAAGCTTTGCATCTATATTTTTAGACATCTGTGAAGCTGGCTCTGCATCCCAGAGAGCCACATTCCCTTAATTTGCTTACTAAAAGTTAACAGGAGCCAAGCAACCCTCCCACTTACCAGCTCTTCATCTTTGAGAGATGTTCTAGTGGCCATTGCTGAGGTAATTCCGGCTTTCCGGGACTGAACCAGTGACTAAGAAGGAAGAAAGTTTGTTATTCACCACCAATATTCAGAAATGCACTGGCACTACATGGCCAGAGATGTGACCAAGGGGACTGTCATCCCACACACCAAACCAGCAGTCTACTACGTTCAAATTGGATTCTTAAATGATAGCTCACATCTCAGAACCATCAAATGCATACTTTGAAAGGTCTCCAACTTGTTTCCATCTACCGACAACCAGTCTCACTCTGGTAAATTTGTATTAGTTTCTCTGGTAAGAGCTGTCAGTGAAACCTGGGTTCACATCTCCACTTCCACGTTCTGGTAGCAATGGTAATTCTGCTATTGCCTAAGGCCACTACGTAGGACTCACTCTTCTATATCTTACTTCATTCATAGCCAAAAGGAGATTATTTCATCAGTTTTACCAGAGATACAACAGCCCAAACATGACAGTGATATGGTTAAACATAAACAGGTTAAAAACCCAACAAGACTGGGTTGGGAGCACAGGTTTGAATGTGCTGATGTATCACATTCATTGGCCATCACTGAATACAATGAACAGCATTTTCCCCTCAAAACTGCTTCTTTCACATCACGCCAACATGTTCTGCAGCCCTGGGCAGAACAGGGCAGTGCCTTTGCAGCACAGCATAGAAAGGATTTCTGCAGTTATAGGAAGGCAGAAATGGGAATTAACGCCAGCAACATCTGCTTTGAAATCATCAAACCCTGAGAGAAATCTACATTTATGCTCTGATTCATCCTGTTTGAAGATGGAATGAAAAAGTTCATTCCATCAGTGATGGAGCAAGACAGAGTGCTGGACACACATGCACTGCAATACTGCAGGTTCAAAGTAAAAAGGAAAAAGTGGAGGGAAAATAAGGTAAAACAATTTTTGTTTCTGGTGAAGAGTTGGTGGATAGTCTTTAGCTCCACTTACCATGGCCTGAGGAGAGAGAGAATGAAAGCATACAAAGAAAGTAACAAAAGTTAATGCCATTACTGCGAAGATTTAAGATACAAGCAGTTAGTAAGACACATATTAAGCTTCCCATGCATAAGCTGGCAGAGGGAATTGCACACATCTTTTCACAGGAATTACAGAATATGGAAACTTTGGTCTTTCAGCTGTTACAGCATTTCTCTCAAGCATGAAATTGCTACGTGTACTGAACACAGCCAACAGAAAACCATTTGTCCTGCAAAAGCCTTATTTCACCATATCACACAAGCATATGAAACTTGTCCTCATTACTTGCTTGGTTCTTGTGCTTCCTCAGTGCAGAAGCCTATTGGCAATATTGCAAATTACTTTAAAAATCCAAGCACATATGCTCGTTTATCTATCCTCTGAAATTCCAACCTTCTGGTAAGTTGCCAAACCTCACATGGACATTATGACTTTCCCTGAAGTATGTGATTTTTAGGAAAACATTTAAAAATAATGCAGGCCTAAAAATAATCAAATATTCTGTGTAGAATAAAAAGGAAAAAGAACATGAACAATATCTTAATTCTGCCAAAAGAATGAAACTGTCTATGAAACTGTAGCTCATTCTTACTGAGATTTTTCCAAGCACAGTTCCTAACCCCTTATTCTTAGAATTAATTTTACTAATGAGGAAACCTTCAGCTTCTTAAAGTGACAATGATGTTACCATATGTGAAAAGGTAAAGCCACTTGCACTAATGGCTGTGTGACAGAAGAAAAATCTCTTACCAGATCACTGACAAGTGGAATTGGCTTTTTTTTGCGTAAATCGGGCATGCTATCAATGCCATAGAGACCACCTGCAGGCCTGGAAATGCAGGAAAGAAAAAAAAAAAGATTAAAAATCTCACCAGCAATGACAGACAGAAAAGAAATGACCAAAAAACTTCCTTAAAACATCAGTCTGCTTGTTAGTATCATAGTCAATGAGAACATGAAGACTCAGATCACTGCAAATGCAACTTCATAATAACCAAAGTTGTTAACACACCAAAAAAAGGTAATTTTCCCATGCTCAAATCTGAGCTAGCTCAGAACAGGCTGAACACATGTTTGCAGAGCAACCAGAGTCACTGCTGCCAGCACAGTGGGTGAAGGCAGCCTTATCCCCACCGCTTCCGTGGGGGACAGATTTGGCAAAAAATACTTACCCAGTGGCAGAACCAGAGCTCCGTGACAGTAATTCACAGGCAGCTTAATCCATTGTAACTGAGCCACACACCGCTGCTTTCATAAGAACCTTTTGTTCCTTAGGGAGAGTTCAGTTTATAGTTTATCATTGGCATTGAGCATCACGGCAGGAGGCATATACGCAGAACTCATTGGCATTGAGCATCACGGCAGGAGGCACATACGCAGAACCACAGAATGGTAGGGGGTGGAAGGGACCTTCAAAGATCATCTACTCCAAGCCCCTGACAAAGCAGGGTCACCCAGAGCAGGCTGGACAGGAACCCATGCAGGCAGGTTTTGAGTACCTCCAGAGGAGACTCCAGCACCTCTCTGGGCAGCCTGTTCCAGTGCTCTGGCACCCTCAAAGCAAAGAAGCTTCTCCCAATGTTGAGATGGAATTTCCTGTGTTCCCGTTTGTGCCTGTTGCCCCTTGTCCTGTCACTGGGCACCACTGAAAAGAGCCTGGCCCCAGAAGGAAATACTTCACAAATTTGAAAACATGCTGTCTCCAGTCTATCCCTTTTCTTTCCATTTAATTAATTTAGGGTTTAGGAGGGGGGTGCTTTACTGGAGGAAGCAAAATCAGCCAGAGGATGATACTTAAGAAAGTGTAAAGTTAATGCTAAAAACGATTAAGTGTTTATCTTCTTCATGCAAGACAATCCAGACGTTCCTGCCTGGTGTTGGTTAGGAAGGAGCATGTCAAAGTAGATCAGCCCAGGGCCAGGATGCTGTTACCCATTATCTGATTCTAGGCTAGAACACACTTAATCCTGGCCCTCGAGATCCATATAATTACTAGGAAAAAACCTCACATCTGCGGGGAAAGAAGATCATTTTTATTTCTGTAAAAGAGACCATCTGTGGTTGCTCGGCATTTCAGGCCATGCCGACCCCTACACACAAGAGCTGTCATTCGCTGGTGGAAGTGCCAAGGGAAAGCCTTGCAGAAATGAGCACTACAACCTCTCTCCTTCCCGACAAGACCAGCCTGAATAATTGTGTCTGGATCCTGCCATGCACCAGTAACACCTCACAGGTTTAAGCCTGTGCTTGAGGAAAGTCTGTTAATTCAGCTTAAAGGCCCCAAGTAAATTTAGTTGCTTTTTCTTACGGTTGGGAAGTGAGCACCTATTTCTTTGCTGTTGCACCTATCACATTCATCTGAACTGAAGAGCAGAGCTGTGATGTGACTCCCTCTCGGCAACGAACACCCAGCCACCAGCCAAAACCCACAGCCCTGCTCAGTCTCTCACCCAACTTCTTCAACTCCACACTATCCTCAGGCCTTGCTAACACTATGAATATGGTTCCCACAGCCTTTTATTTGGCTACAGAGACTGTAAAGAAACCTTCTGCTTCTCTATCCCGAGCCATTTGTTTTCACCCTGCACGTTCTGCAGTTGCTTGATATATTGGCTGGCACTTTAAGTTTGCTTATGCTGATGATTTGGTACACTACACCCAGCCGAAGTGCTTTAGGACACCACAACTACAGGAAAGAGGAGTACAGGTCAAACTGTTCCCATTGCAACAAAAGACACACATGGAACTTGGATTTAAAACAATCTAGGAAACCGAACTGCCACTACCAATTTGCACATGCCATGAAAACTGGGAGGCTGGCAAGTGATAAAAGGCCACCTGCACTCCTCAACAAGCAGGGACTACTCAACCCCACCTTGAATACAGCTGAAAGTCAAAAAAAGCCCCACCACATCCAAGGTGATCAAACCTACGTTAGAGCAGGCCATGCTCTGGGATGGACAAGGATGTCAGGGCACAGCCTAGCACAAGGCTGTGTCAAAGAGGGAGAGTGTCTGTTACACACAAAAACATGCCATAGCACTGTAACAGTAAAATAGTCTTTTTTTGACAGGGCGTAGGAGGGTGACAGGTCCGAGCCACGGCGCGGCTGACAGAGCAAGCCCGGTGGAAGGTGAGTAGTCACGGCTGAAGCGCGTTGGCTCTGCTCAAGTGGCACCAAGTCGTGCTCCCACCACAGATTTCTTCTCCTCTGCAGGACGAGCACAAGCCACCACAGCCCGACCTCACCCCGGGGAAGGGAAGACAAACTTGGGCATCTGAAAGGGGGAGATTTACAGGCGTTATTTAAAACTACTGGAATCTGTGGTCAAAATCGAGAAGAGTTTTCCCACGCTGGAAATCCCTACAGGGAGGGCTACCTGATGTTTTTACTAGAGGTTACCCTCACTTCCAACAGAGAATTCCAGAAAAACCTTTTGCCCAAGTTACACTGCAAGAATCCCTTCTGGCTTATTCTAGAAAAAATCTAACCCACCTCAACAAATAAGAATTATCTGCATATAATGTTTATATTGTCAGAACTCAGTACAACCTTGCTGGTATCAAACAGGGAGTTTCATCTGCTGCCCTAGAGCTATAGATACTGTTTTGGGGTAAAATAGGTGTCACAGAAGCCTACCCAGCTGATGCCAAGAATTCCAGCATCATTTAAATCACAACAGAGCTTATTGGTAAGTTTTGGGTCAAAGACTGGTGGCAAATCACTTGAATTATGAAAGCATATGCGAAATAGAAAGAAAGAGTCTGTACACTGAGAAGATCTAACAAAATGGTCACAAGTAAAAACCCACAGTCAATGCTCCTGCTAAAAGTCAATGGAACAGATGGGAATTTGTACTTCTTTTCTACACAATTTCCAATGAATTTTCTTCCTAATTCAATTGAAAGGAAACGGTGGTACTCTGACATTTCTTGGGAAAGAAAACCAACGTGTTTTGTAAATTCAAGATGAGCCTAAACAAGTTATTTTGCTTGAGAAACATGTCTAGTTACAACATGGCTTGACACAAAACATTTATGATAGGCTGAGTTTTACAATAAAATCAGTTGTAAGCTAGACTTAGGGAGAACAAGGCTATTTGAAAAGTGCTTGTATTCATCACTGAAGAGAGGTATCCTAGTACTTAGACATTTATACACTCAGATGACCTATTTTTAGCCTGTTGATATTTTTTTAAAAAAGAGTTTTCAGCAACAATTCTTAATTTTCAAAATTATTTAGCCTGTGCTTTCAGCTACCTCAGTCTCTTTATTCAAGCACAAGCTCTACTTCACTGAACAAAATTACAGTGTTTGCACAGACAGAAGTACTGACAGTGCCTCAAAAAGCACACTGGAGCTTTATATGTAATAGGGTAACTCTCCTCTGCAATGCATGTAATATTTATAGCATTATTATGGAGTGCTGTATTGAGGAGTGAATAGCATTTCAGACTGAGAAGATGATTTGCACTAATAAATAAAATATATAGATATGAAATAATACAGCCAGAGATTGATCCATAATGCCAGTTATACTTTTTTTGGAAGCTATCTCTCCAAAGCCAGTGATTACAGAGAGGGAGCTACTTTTCGCATTATGCCAAAAGTGCAAATAGCTTGAAGCATGTATTCATCTTTTAATACAAGTTTTATCAGACTGATGCTTCCATTAAATCTTGAAAATTTAAGCAAGCAAAGATGGTTTGCAATGACAGAAGATGATTACTTCCTTCAAAGGACACGACTTCTCTAATCTTCATATGAAAGAAGAACTCCAAACGTAAGTGCTTTAATGTACTTTGTGGCTAATAAGCCACAACGAGGCTAATGGTGGAATTAAGGGTTCACCACCCACAACCACCTTTTCTGGAAATCCCTTGCATGTGGGGATACAGTGAATAAGCTAAACTTCTTTCAAAACTGCATTAGCCAGTCTGGTTTGTTATAGGTCACACAGATAGGGGAAAAAGTAACAGAATAGGGCAAACATTGCCTTGAATTGACAAAACAAATTTTAAGCACTTGAGGACTGTAGGTATATTCATCTTTCCGGCTGGGAAACCATTTTGTGTGCATGAACCAATAAAGTTAGTACATTGTCTCCTTGTTAAAGCAGGAGAAGGTGCTGTTTATAGTTAGAATAAATCACTGTCTTCTGCTCCTGCTAATTGCCAGTTCTCCAGCAGCCTGCTCACCAAAGTCCCAGGCTCCTGAGGAAACCGCGGGGTTGCTAGGCAGCTCCAGGCATCCGCAGGTGTGGAGGATGCTTTGCAGGAGTACCAACATCGCGGAACAATGACTCCAAAAGCAGAAAGCCACATAATGAACCTTCCGATTCTAACTTTGCGTTTTATTAGGGAAGCTTCCTTCGGTAGTGTGAGAATTAACTTACGTGTGTGGCAAGCCAACCTCATGCTGAGATTTCGGGGCAAATCCACCGCTATGTCAGCTCGTAATGAGTGCACCACCACTAAACCGTATCGCCCTGATCACGCACAAAGCACGTAACACCTAGCAGCTTGTAAAATGTGTCATTGTCTTTTTTCCCCCAGAGAGGATTCTAAGGAAGCCACCATGCTGGCAGCTATTATGCAGAGTACCATGCTGAAATGACACACCATCAGGATCTGTCTGCTTCATTTGCTGCGAATAGTGCATTGCAGAGAGAACAGGCCGCCTCTCGCCCTCACCTGTGCAGAAGAGGCATGATGATCACTGCTTTAAAAATTAAAAACCTCAATGATTTCCGGAGTTTTACTGCAGTTTTGACTACTAAGTGACCATAGAAATCATTGCAAAGACAAAAGACTTCCCCCAAAGCTATCTCTTTCTTCTAAGAGCAAAACACACAGCAATCTTCCTGAGCTACTCCTTCCCTTCCCTGGTGCCCTCGGTGGCTGATTCAGGAAAAAGGATCTCATCCAGACTGCTCTGGGGTACTCTGTAAGGTTTACTTAATACTGCTGCCACAAGCACTTGCTGCCAGCATGTTACAGATTATATGTTGAAACTCTGTGTTCTTAACCACAGATCTCCTGAAGATCAGCCCTCCTCCAGACCCTTAAGAGGGCACTCTGAAACAGAGAAGCAACCTGGCCCTACATGAGGCATGGTCCTGAAAACAGCCATTGAAAACCTCAGAAGTGTGGCTTTCACTTAGGTTGATCTGCAGACATTAAAGTACACTATAATTATAAACAGAAGGAAACAAGTCTCAAAAGACCACTTACCCTCCTTTGAGCCAGGGTGGTTTTGATGGATCAGTCTCATCTTGACCCTTAAATGGAGGAAAGGAAAAGAAGAATAGGAAATTAGTTTCCAAAAACACTAGAAAAAGTATTCAGGTTCTATTGTGAGGACAGGATAACAGACCACACTGCATGCAGGCAAATGCATACAGAAACTTATTCAAGCACCTCCAACCACCAGCACGTCAGGACAAATCATACAGACATGGACAGGCTATGCAATTTCATTTGAACACTTAAAACCAGGACCAGAAGAGCCTGTTCAGTGCACCTCCTCTTTCACATGTCAGTCTCGAAAACCAATTTTTTTTTATTTCCAACCAAAAAAGCATGAGTTATCAGAGAGCTCCTGTCATTACAGGTTACCACTTACATGAACACAGTCATAATGAGGATGTTACAAACTAAAAGCACCTGTATGAAGTGCACAAATGAATGATGAACATGAAACTTTGTACAAACACTTGTGATCTTTGTTCATGCTCAAATGCAAAGACTTTATCCCCTTAAGAAGGGAGGTCCCACTGCAGCTCCCCCCCTTCTCACACAAGTATTTAATTTCCAGTGGGTGTCAAACAAGGGCCATCACTTGCAAGGTCATTGCAGGTGAACTGGGATCTCACAGAATGGTGGAAAACACCACCGACTGCGAATACGAGGATTCATATTCATTAATTCAAAACATGTTCTTTTGTTCATATTAGGAGTGTATTTATAGACCGATGTTTTTTTTTTCTTTGAAAAGTCTTCGGCAGACTGATTAGAGCTGAGAAGTGCTTAAACATTTGCAAAGTACCTGGAGGAAAAAAGGTTTTGGATAAAGGGAAAATGGTTTACCTGTAAGTGGGGAACTCTTTGTTCCAGCTTACAGTTCATACCTTCTCCTGCACTCCCTGAAAGAAAAGCTGTTCTCAAACAGGACTAAGCAAGACGCACGGCTAATAGCTAACACTCTAACCTCAGAAAATCACATCTGCCAAGAATGTAAAGAGGCTGCAACTTGCACACAGTGGAAATCCAAGTACTTCCAGCCACTTCCAACCTGAGGGTCATAACAAAGTGAAAGACTATCTGTCAGGAAGTAAATTCCAATTTTATGCAAGATAAAAGAACACAGCCCCAAAAGAAAGATCCTTCTTTTTCGTTTGTGTTTAGGTGGGGTTTCTGTGGAGTTTTTTGGGGTGTTTTGTGTTGCTTTTTTTTGTCCTGTGCTTTGGGTGAGCTGTGCAACCTCAGGCTGTTCACAGGTGAAAGACAAGGTCTCCCAAGAAAAGCAGAAATAACCAAGGAAAACAAGTTTCTGTTTGAGGTCTCAAGCCATACAGCAGCAAAAGTCCAAACACTTCATTAGCCCTACAACTCCAGGGATAGGCAGATCTGAAGACTACATATATTTTTATTATTTAATTTTTGAACAGGCCATACAGCAGCAAAAGTCCAAACACTTCTCCAGGGCTAGACAGATCTGAAGACTATATATGGCATGAACAACATGACATTATCCATAGTTGAATGGACACTCCAGATTTTCTACATGGTCAACAACATGACATTATCCATAGTTGAATGGACTCTGTATTTTCTTCATGGCTGCACAGGCCTGTAGACCCATGGTCCAGCACAGGTGCATGTTTTCCCCATAGCTAGAGCAGCACACCAGGATCTAGGCTTCTGCAGGAAGGATCATGCCCTACACATCTCCACTCCAAGCCAAGCTTCCAGAATCCCTCAGCCTGAAACCCGCATTTCCTCTGGAGAAAATGATTCCTCCGAGTCAGCTGCTGGTCAAGAGACAAGACTTCATGATGCAACCAGATCCTTTAGAGCAGACAAGGCAGGACATCCCTTCCTTGGCCTTTGAGCACATGGAAAAGCTGTGGCTAGAAAGCAATCCTAAAATGGAACAATGTTTTATGCTGGGCTGAGCCTGACACCAGTTGGTTCAGCTGTACTGAATGACAGAGAATGACAAACACAAACATGGCAACATTTTCTCACAAAAGGTGTAACAGGGCTTTCCATCAGTTTATCTGAGAAACTACAAGTATAACCAATCAATATTTAAGACTTTAACAGACCAAATAGCAAAGGCAATACTGCAGCCTGAAGAACACAGGAGCATCAAGAACTCTGTTCAGGGGAAGAAGATCCAGTGAAAGCTGTTATTTAACTGGGCAATAGCCATTTCTTCCACAAGTCAACAGAGAACAGCCAGGAGTGTGGATGCCAGGGAGGATGCACTGTGGCAGCATGGTCAGGAAACAAACCCCCACCAAGTCCCAGATCGAGACATGCCAAGTAAAAATTGCTGAGAGTCCAGATATAATAAATGTGCAGAAGTACAGTTTAATTACTTTTGCCAAGTCTTTTAGACATGCAAATAAAAAAGAAAACAAGAAAAGAGAAAGAGCTTCTCTAAAGTCAAGATTAAAAATCATCTTGGTTCAGCAACATGAAACGAAAGAGCATTCAGTAGACGACAGTATTGATGCAGGGGCCAGGCAGGTGATGCCTGTGAGGAAACAGGAGTTATCACCTGCTGAAAGCAAAGTAAAGAGGTAATTTGCTCCAGGCAGCCTTCTCCCTGAGAAAATGCCAAGAAAACCAGCATCTGACATTCATCAAACAACGGCTGGTGCCTTAAGACTGTGTAAGAGCCAATGCAGTACCGACAATTAAGGTGTGTGGGGGAAAGAGGGAAATGTGATTTAAACTAGCGTAAGCTCATTATTGGCTTCAACAGCTTGCAAAGCTTCAGAGCGAACATGAAGGAAAGAATTAACATGGACACAATTGGAAAACAGGAAAAAAAAATAGAAAACAGGGCACACCGGTTTTGAAAACATTTTGTTTGCTTGTTTGTTTGACAAAGCAACCACTTTTCTTTGGACTGAATTATCGACTGAATTTTCATTTCAACAGAAAAACTTTTGATGCAATGCCATATGACGTTAATAAGGCTGGATAAGCAGAGAAGGAGTAGGGAGGTTTAAGGTGGGTAAACAAGTAACTGAGCCAGCCATGGACAACGCAATAAGGAAGCTAGTGGGAGTAAGTAGGATCTGCTGATAAAATCTGCCGATGACAAACACAGGAGAACTACTGACAGAGAACTCAGAGGCCCAATGGAAAGAACTGATGGCAGCGAAGATTGCAACAACAGAGGATTGAATGCGGTATAAATGGCAAAGTCAGAGCCACAAAGTCTGCTGTGAATGACTGCATACAAGGCGTTCTTCGGTGGAGAAAGGCATCCTCGGCGGACAACAGACTTGAGCTGTAGTCATCACAACTGGCCATAAGCCTCTTTGATACAGCCATGTAAGGAGAGAACATCATCCATAGAGTGTCCAGAGAAATGTCTCCATAGAAATAAAAGCCTAAATACCTCTGTGCTGGGCTTGCAAGACTCCCTCAAAGCAGCATATACAATCTTTTTTTTTCTATATCAAAGTAAAAAGAATTCACACAGGAAAATGGCAAAAGTAGCATGAGGGTGTAAACACAATACTATAGAGGGAAAACAGGACAGCTTGCTTACTCTAGCAAAAGGAATTTTTCTCTGTGCTTATGAACAGACAGAAGAACATACTGCATAGAAGAGAAACTGTGGCTAAATATAAATGGAGGATGAATCATAGAATCATCGTATCTAACCATGGCAGTTCTGTAGTACCCTTTCAAAATGAGAAGATGACACCAAACCTAACGAGTTTCAAAGAAGGAATTTGGGCAGCTTATAGACAAGGTAATGGCATAGCTATCACACAGTGGCCGAGCGCTGGCAGCCACCAAGAAGTCCTCTGCAGTCCATTGTTCCAATGACATGTGCAGTCGCAGACTGCAAGTGTTGGCACGAGGGTTAATGGGCACCTCTGGGAGCACCAGTTGAACAGTCATCCACAGTTCACACCACTGTTGTGGATAAAATCACTTCCCACATTCCTTTTCATTTAGAGGTGGCAAATAGCAGTGCTCTTTAGATAGATTTGCTGCAGTTGAGGAGTTCTCCACCCTCCGAAGGCAACTTTCCCACCAGGGCAGCTCCAGCAGCTGCTCTGGGTCCTGTCACCAGCCATGGATCTGCTCAAGTTCAGTCATGACAACAGCCTGGCTTGCTCAGAGCCTGGGCAAGCAGAGGAAACGACAGGCAGATGAGAACAGCATGGGAACAACTGTGAGAATTTTTAGCACTGGTTTTCCCAAAACAAATGGGTGGGCAAAGGGAAAAGTAGACACAGTTTAACACCTAGACATCCACGTGCTGCATGTCACAGAAAGTGTTGTGCTGGCTCATGCTTCACTACTCTGCACAGCTCTGTTACTTGATGTCTCCTTGAAAGCAGCCAGACCAGTCCAAATCTGAAATTTTTATTATTTAAAAAAAATAAAAATCTCCTTTAAGCACATAAAGCAGCACTAAAAAGATGGAGAAGCAAATACTTTTGATGCAAAGTATCAACAAAACAGCCCATCACATCTCTATTCAACTTTTTATTTTATTTCTGGTGCTGATGGATGAGAGTTTCACACCTACTGTCCAGCAAATACCTCCGGCCACAGAAGTGCTTGTAACCCCTAGTAATGTGGTGCATGCACTCATGGTAAAGTGTGCTGCAATCAGTTGCTGAAAGGTCTTCTCCAAGTAATTGAAGTTTCTTATCAACCAAGAGCCAGTTAGCATAATAATGCCAGCGACAGAGTAGCATAAATTTAATACCCTGAATTAAACAAGTCAACAGACATGATCATTTCAGGCACAGTATTCAGTCACATGGAAGGCAATGTTTAGTGAAGCCCAAAAAGGAAACTAAAGAGGAGTTTTACTCATTCAGGAAAAGTGGCAACTAAGCTTACAAGTAATTTGAGAAGTTATTTAAACAAGATAAATTGCAAAATTTAGAAATTGTATCTCATACACAAGAAGATGTTTCAAAGGACAGAAAAAGCAATTATGTACTTCTGTAGAACAGAAAGTCCAACAAACAAACAGTGAGGCATCAAATTAAAAAATAAAATAAAATCACAA